GGAGAATAAACGTCATTTCCCTTTGGTGAATCATTTCAGATCCTTGTGGCTGTTCCAAATGAAAATGAAACGTATCCCCTCTCCAGATTTGCAGTTGACACAAGGCGCTGCACATCCACAAATGAACGTTCTCGGCGGCTCGGCTTTGAGCTACGTGCTGGGCAAGACGCTCCGATTTGGAGGCATTCAGACGATTCCAAAGACACCATGGTGAACACTTCGGGGAAACCCAGATATGTTTAGGCCTAAATACCCATAAGGCATCGTACAGGCGACAACGACCAGCGTACGTGCTCAAATCACCCTGCCTGAGACCAAATCGAATTGCTGTGAGACCCTGCATCTGGCTCTGGTGGGTCAGTTGGCTCTGATCACTGCAGTAGACTTCCAGCAGATGACAATTGGACTGGTGCCAATGACGCTCAACTTGTTCCAGGCTCATGTGTCTATGTTTCTTTTGCCAGTAGTTCCACATTTCAGCATAAATCGGGTTTTCCATTTCCATTTCTTCATGAAAAACAGTCTGAAAATACTGGACGTCATGAATTTGAGTGTTCGGTTCTTGAAGTTTCTGAAAACCTACATCATCACATATCCATGGAGCTCATCCACATTCTGGCCGGATTGGATCACTTGTTCGATGCGCTCAGAGGGTGCGTCTGCATGATCATCTGCAGCTGCTGGGAGATCTGGCTCAGCATGTTCTCCATGTTGTTGATGCGCTGGCCCTGCATTTGAACTTCCTCTGAGATCTGTGCGTTCGGTGGAGCATATGGCTCCCAGGTCATGTCCGGCTCGGACCAACTGTCCTGACTCCCTGTCTCTGCACAGTGTGGCGGGGCCGCTCGGCTCTTGGCCTTCAGATCCAGATTTGGCCGCGGTGTCAAGGGCACCTGATGATGATCTTCCCCCCGCTTCAGTTCTTGGCGCTCCACATACATGTTCAGGAAGAACAGGAAGGAACGGTGGGTCTCCTTGGTGCTGTGAGCATACTTGCGGGCAAACCACTGTGCATACTTCGGGTCTTTCTCTATCACCTCTAAGTAGGTCATCCCCACTTTGGCCTCTCCGAAGGCAATTGGCAGGCGAGACAACTCCTCGTAGGACTTTGTCATGAACTCCTCTTGCTTCTTCTGACTGGTGACGGCCTGGAGACGATCGGCAAGAGATGTCATGGCCATGAGATATGCTCGACGGTGGAAGGCACGGTTCGGATGCAGAACACGGTGACTCAACACTTGAGGCTTCGAATTGGCTTTCGGTTGGGATCTCTCCTGGGTCTTCGGTCATTGACTCAACTGACATGACGGGTCGATCTGACAAATCAGTTCCAGACACCATGGTGGTTTTCCTAGAAGCTACTCGGCTAACCAACTCGCAAAAATCCAGCAGGTACAGCTTCTTTTCAGACAGCTGTAGTGGCATGGTCAGATCTAGCTCGGAAAAATAAACCGTGTCAGTGGCTGTATTGATCTGTGCCCCCAAGGTGCGAAAAACATTGTTTGACAACAGAAAGGGAGTTTGAGTCTTGACTACACAAACCCGTATGAACCATTTTCCCAGGGGAACCAGCAAAGCCTCTTGACAGGTCACTGTGCTGTTGTTACCAAACCTGAAAATAGTTTGGCATGGAATCCTTCGGATGCTCTTGGAAACATGAAAGGGAATATGGTTCCACAACTCTTTCAATTGATCCTGGCCAATTACAGTCTGGCTTGCGCCTAAATCAACGATCCCGAAGGGTCCATGGCTGGCAAAACATGCTTCGGCTTCGGCACGATTGGTCACGGTTGGACTCTTCGGCTCAACAGGACATGGCGACACCGGTTGTGTCTTTGCAAAAGGTGGCTCAGGAGGTCTCGGCAACAGAGGGCTAAGGCGGCACTTCAGGGAACTGACAAGCCTGGACAGGACAGAATCAGACAGGTTCAACTCACTGGCTCTATCCCCACTATGGTTATGTATCCCCATGAACCACTCATGCCTATCCCCAGTAAACCCCATTTTGAGCTCAACGGCCTCGGCAGCTTCGTCCAAAACGATCATGTCATCTCCAGGCAGAGAGCTTGAGATCACGGCGGCTGTTCCGGCAAATGCCTGGGCATCTTTGGAGTTTCCAGTGGCACTGGCGGCTGCAGATCGATTCAAGGGACATTCTGCCTTCCAATGGCCTTTTTGGCCACAACGTCTGCACTCGGACTCCAAGATCCTCTGAGACAGCGGTTTCCGGTAACGGCCATTCCATTTCCCTTTTCCCTTGCCTTTCCCTTTGGAGAACTGCTGTGATCCCTTGGATGCATTCCAGAAGCCTCGGTTCTTGTTGCGATCCGTGAGACGCTTTCGGGCGTCGAGGTAGGTGTTGTAACACGATGCGAGTTCTGTGTCACTTTGCAAGGCCTCGACAAGCCCTTCTTCGAATTGCATACACACGATCGCATCAGGATCATTGTCATCATAGTAAGGGTCTGGCTCATCCCAAGTCTCTCCAGTGAAGGCGTATTCGTCTTCGGTTGAAAAAACTGGTTGTTCTTCATCAAAAACGGCATTCACATCATAGGTCTTTGTGCGGACTACCGCTTTGTTTCCGGACTGAAGTTCATGAAAAAACCTAGATCCCAGCAGTTTCAACGCGGACACGATGTTCTTGTACTCCAAGGAGCCATTGGCGTCAACGATCAGCTTCTTCTTGTCCTCTGCACCAAGGCCTGAGTTCCTAAGAAGAACATAGGCGCGAATCTCAGCAAAACCAACCCCCATCTGCAGAAGTTCTTCAAACTGAAAATCGTGTCGGGCCATGTAACTTTCATGGGATTCATCACTTCTCTGAACTGTGGTGAAGATGGCACGCTCGAAACGTTCGAACTTTTCCTCCAAGTTGCTACGACCCCAGATGCCTCCTAAGGTCTGAACGAGAGCTTTGACACCACTGTCAGAATTGGCTTTCAATTTCGACGGGTCGATTCTCATGACCTTCTTGAAAGAACTTCCCTCACAAAGCATTGCCGCTCGAGAGGTGAGCTGCCCTAGGTGTTCTTGCGGCCATAGGCTAGCTAAGAACTCCAACTTCTTCGTATACTCATTTATGTCAGTCTCTCCAGGTTTGAAGGCAGGTATCATGCTCCATGGTAAATGGGATAGAGATCCAGTCGAAGTGGACTGAACCGTCCCAGCACCTGTTCCAGATTCACTACCTGACATCCTGGATCAACAAGGCTTCCAGCAAGACCTAGTTCAAAGAACACCTCGCTGGCCTTTGGTAGCTCCGCTACCAGTGTAATTCCCTACACTGGCAGCAACCAAAATCAAGATGGGGACCCCTGGTCCTATCAAATCTCTTCTCCTCCAACACAACGCCTTCCCAAGGCACACAGGATTTTTCTATGGCTGCAAACACGGTGCAAATCCAACGGAAGGTTGCTACAGGCTACCCAAGCCCTCTGGCCCTCCTGAGCCACCAAGTTCTCCACTGCATCACGGGGCTCACAACTGGTTGCAATCGGACAACACGCTGTCACTCTCTCAAGCAGTAATGGGTTATCCACGATGGTGAAGAAGTGGCACCAAAAACACAATATATATATAGATATAGATACCTCTCAAATCCCTATGTCACTGATCACCTCGTCCTCAACAGAGATCACCGGAATCTCCTGTCAGGCAAGTGTACATCAAACATCTTGGACAACCTTGGAATCAAAAAATCATACCTAGTGATACTCCACTTCGACTGAGTTTGAAATTTGGACCAGGTTGCTCGAGTCGACCAGGTTACTAATATATTTTTTTGACCCATGTCTGACCCAAGTCTCCTCCGGTGGCGTGTGACCATCGGCTGCTGGATCTGCAGAGGTACTGCCAGGAGAGGTTTGCTGCTCGGAAAGATTGGCAAGCTTGATGAGTGCACCAACCTATCCCCAACTGACCTGAGAATCTAGATGTGTTAGCCCCATTTAGCCCCAATATTTCGCGATACTCAGGACATGTACACAAAACAATCACTCAAAAAAACAGCGCTCAAAATCCCCTTCAGGGCCCTTGGATGGCCGTTTTCTGAGATGGCACGACCATGGTTTTGCATCGCACCTTGTCTTTGGTACCTGTGCATCACCCAGCTCATCCTGTGGCCTACGAGGTACAGTAGAAGGTTTCCGTCCATGGTTCCATGCACAGTCAATCGACAGCATATCTTCGGCAGAAGGTTTGTCTTATCGTGCTATCCAAATAACCAACGAAACATCATATATATATTGTATATATATACACACACATTATATCTACATAGACGCATTCTATTATCGTTCACTGCGCATGGCCAGTCAAAATTGCAAAAAAAAAGTTTAAAGAGCCAGAGTCAGGTGCAGGACGGCTTCGTAGATGTTTAGGTAAAAACCGTTGGGGACAGCAATGTACCAAAGCCGTGCATTAAATGCAAGAAGAAGACTTTGAATCGTGCACCACCCCATAGTAGATGTTGCACGAAGAAGGACCTTAGTTGTCCGGTTCCTTAGTGCTCCAGATGCTGTCTTGGCACTTGGCCAGCCAGCATCGAACCTTCAAGACCTCATTAGGGCATGAAGTTTTTTGGGCCCAGCCAAATCTAGCAAGATAAGGACAAGACGGTTTAGGAGGGAAAGGACGAAGACGGCTTGGACAATCCCAAGTGATGTGCTCCCATAATCCGACATTGCACCCCCACGGGCAAGCAGAAGAACAAGAAGATGAACGAATACGAGAGTGAGTACCCCTGAACGTAGCACCCAACCCGACAGTGGCAGCGACGGGGCTGGACAAAATCCAAGAACGAATGTTTTCGACATCCAAAGAAAGGAAATCTTGATCAGAGACAGGGAGGGACTGGACCTCATGCCTGCCACATTCGGAATATTTTTTCCAAACCCAAGCCCTCCAGCCTTCCCGAACATTGTGTTGAACAAGACCGATAAGAGGCTCCAGCATGGTGGGACGCAAAGCGCCGGAACAAGTCCCACCATGATTAGACCAGGAAAGGTCACGAGACCGAAAGCGAGCACGGAGGACCGCAGCCACCAAGCGAGTGACCCAAGTGACATCCAGGTGCAAGTTACCCCTCAAGGAAAGAGCGTGCAGCCACAGACTGGAGTACCGGACACGGCGAGTTGAGACCCAGAAGGCGGTCCAGAGAGATTTAGCGACAGTCCAGGGTGGGACCACGAGCAACCCAACCGTAGTTGGCTTTAGGGAAGCAAACCACTTAAAATACCGAAGCTGGGTAGGAAGAAGGAAGCCACAGCAACCCAGTAGACGAGCAGTAGCCTTAGCAGCAACAATCCCATCTTTTTCGATGTAGTGAAGTTGACGACGACCCGACCAAGAGACCGCCCCGAGGACCCGAACGGCAGGCGAAATCATTGAGGCATCGAATTTTTGACGGAGGGCAGAGAGACGGGCAGACCCGACCCCAGACACCTTAGCCTTTTCAAGCCGACAGAGTGACTCCAGCGAGACCACCCCTCTTTCAAGTAAACAGATCTTGGACAGAAGAGGACGTACAGGTCCGATCGTCAAGATAGATTTGCAGAGAAGACGGACCAACCTCCAAAATAGACGACATAACTCCGCTTTGAACCCAAAGTGAACAGATTATGGGACCTAACGGATCACCTTGAGGCAGGATAGCGGATCGGATGGCGTGGGCTCTAAGAGGTTCACTATGAGTGTGATGATCATACTGAATGAGCGATTTTGGCTGCCCCAAACGGCATTGAGAAGGTCAGTAATGTTGGGTGGCCAACCATACTTATCAAGAAGGGAGACAAACATGTCAGTACTGATAGTATCAAACGCCTTCGAATAATCCAACGTAAGAAGAAATCCTTGTTGATGGAAGTGGTCGAAATTACGGGGGTTTTGACACCACTCGTACGGAGAGTTTCATTCGGATTAGTTCCATTAATTTCATGAGGACTATATTATAAATAACTATATAGATTGTAAATGAATGTAAATGATTATTGTTGGGAAGTTCCCAAGTTATAATGATTGCATTTTATTCCTGTTACTCATGGATTACGATAGTCCCCAGTATGTAAAGGGTAGGTTAATAGCCCCTCGCAAGAATCATCAACCAGCGCCAGGGTTTTCGACACTGCTCATGCAAATCTATCTCTGAATAAGGCTGGCGCCCCACACCAAATAATAGCCTCGGAGCACGTGCAGGGTGCAACAAAGCCTAACATTGAATCCCGGAGAGAGCATTTCCAATGCATTTCCCTTCTTTCCCCAGCACTTTGGCATCTTTGGCTAGTCAGTTATGCTTTTTAAACCCCTTCCGGTCACCAATTCTGGTAGTAACCTTGCCAGTTCTATCCACTATCGAAGCTATCGGAGCATCGTTCACCGTTGAGGTCCCACACTTCGCCCCAGGACCCAAGGTGGGAGCATCCAGCTGCGTTGGCTGATGCCTTGAATGGGAAGTTTTGAAGTGTCGGCTGCCGACTGGTGCTTGTGGTATGACTTATTCTGACTATCAGTGACTATCAGTATACTTCAACTATGATGATTTGTTTTGATCAGTCATACATTGTGATTCTGGTATATGTTCATCATGCCGATTCCCATTCATGGTGGAATGGTACTAGGTCTCTTGGTGTTTTTTTGCCGATGTGAGAACAAATACATTGGTTTGCCCAAAAAATCCTATTTTCGCTATTAAAATAGTCTTTTGAGGGGTATATAAGCCATTTCCACATCTCCAGCACATCCCATGAGCTTCGGCCTCCTCCGCCAGTCTGGAACTGCAAAGGATCGTGGTTCGGTCACGCTGCCCACGCGCTCCAACAGCGCCTGACGGTCAAAAAATCCAGTAAAGCATGGTAGAGCCCAGAATCGATCCATGATGGTTATGACATGCTATGACTGCCTGGCTTGAAGATCTGATAACAAAAATGCGTAAACTGGCAATTCGCCTGCATTTCGACCGGAAATTTTGGAAGATTGTCTCGCACTGCTGCAGAAAGAGCTTCTCTCTGAGGAGCCTCAAAATCCTGCAGAACAAGAGCTGTATCCAACGGTGCAGTGTCTTCCAAACCAACAAAGTGTATGTCAAAAATCTCAGGAATGCCATGGAATGCAAAAAAAAACATCATCATTGGGAGATGATGCGCTTGCGCGTGCCTTCTGCAGGGTGACATCACTCAAAACCTGCATCAAAAACAGTGGTATCATGGCATGAGGCAACGAAACTTGTCCAACAGTTAAAACAACCAGTTTGGGTCATGGTTTCTGTTGCTTGGCCAGCAAACCCATCCTCCAAGTCGGTCCATGGGTCAGAACTGAGCTGATCTCGGCACCTGAAACAGCACTGCTGGCCCCGAGGAGCTGTCTTCCGAGTCCCCATCACCGAAGGTCTGCAGCCAGTCCACCTCGACATCCGAAACTGAAAACATGTCTCGGGGATCGCGGCTGAGCGCGGCTGAGTTTCCTGCGATTCTCTCCAGCCGCGATTCCGCATCAAGTTCTTTCAGCATAGCCACACTGGCCTCGCAAATTCTCCCAGACTGGCTGTGTGATCTTAGCAAAACCCAGCAAAACCCAGCCTTTGCCCAGAACTTCACTTCCAAACGGGCGATCTGCTTCAGCAACTGTCACATGGGTCACAGAGAAGCACTGGGGAGGGCGAAGTGTTTGAGTGTGATGCTAGAATCACTAGAGTAGTACAAGAGCACAAGTACCAGCAATTGACGAAAAAAACGCATGTATATATAATCATATATATATACTGTTACAATCTGTTACATACTTATATAATTATATGCATATATTACATATATATATATCACCTTTTTGAGTCTTTACTCGATCTCCACCATTGGACCAAAAAATCATGGAAGCCCCGGCACCTGCTGGGCTTTCAGTTTGCCGCGTTCATCGCGACGCTGCTCGATGGCCTGCAGGGTGCTGCGCAAGTCCTCCCAGAAATTGGGCGCGCAGACGTACCTCCGGGTCGACATGTCAGCCCCGGAAAAAGACAAACCATGGGAATAAACCTGGGGGAATACCATTGAATACCATGTAAATGGTAAATAAACAAACCATGGTAAATGGTGGTGTCCAACCTTTTCAAGCTGGCAATGGGGAATCCATCTAAATCCCCCATTGTCTCACAGGAAAGTACTCTGCTATGGTGCAAATGTCCACCGCTCAGGAAGCACAGGACTCAGCATGGCTCAGCCATTCAGGTGCTCCCAATGGCCCAAGCTCTCAGCTGCGCAACCTCAACGAACCAAACTTTTTGGTCTCTGGCTCAGCATTTGCTGTGCTGCTTGGCGCCATTTTGCGCTTGCGACAACTATGCTTTCTTGCCTCGCAAAACCGACATCGAAGCAATGGCCAAACCCTTCATCAACGTCGGGGTCCGGCCAAAAAGAAAAACAACGAACCGGTAACGAAGCCTTCCTTTCTCTTCCAAATCGGCCATGAACTCCATTTTTTCCCGGAACTGAAATGCTCAAAACTCTTCCTTTCTCCCCTCAGAGCTTTAAAAACCAGTGGAATGTTCAACCCATCTCCAGTGGATCGACCCAACAAAACTCAGCCTCGACCATGCGCAGAGCACTGCAACACACGTCTGGATGCCGTGGGCCCAGGAGCTGACGTTGAGCCTGGCGTGGCTGGTCAGAGACCCTGCAAAAGCTGCAGTTTAAGTTGCAAAAAATCGAAAAATCGAATGAATCACATAATGTATACTATGTGTATGTGTATATATATATATGTGTGTGTGTGTATGTATGTATGTATGTATGTATGTATGTATGTATGTATGTATGTATGTATGTATGTATGTATGTATGTATGTATGTATGTATGTATGTATGTATGTATGTATGTATGTATTATGTATGTATGTATGTATGTATGTATGTATGTATGTATGTATGTATGTATGTATGTATGTAGTATGTATGTATGTATGTATGTATGTATGTATGTATGTATGTATGTATGTATGTATGTATGTATGTATGTATGTATGTATGTATGTATGTATGTATGTATGTATATATATGTATATATGTATATATATATATGTATGTATGTATGTATGTATATATATATATATGTGTGTGTGTCGATATGTACATATATATATATACATATAAAATAGAGAAACGGGTAATACCTCAGTTGCAGGGAATCGTGACCCCACTTATGTGATACTCTTCCTTGATCCACCCATTGTTTTCCCAGGGCCCTTGGGCCGCCCCTTGGTCCGCCTGCCAGACACGCCAAATCTTCCCTGGAGGGGCCGATTGCAGTGCCAAGAGATCGCTGATGGTACTCAGCGTTAAAGGATGAACTCGGCCGCGCTCCTGGTTGGAAACTGGGACAATGTTGGATCCAAAGTGCTGAAACAAAATGTTTCATAGTTGGATTGGTTGGATTCAAACTCTGTTTTTAGCATGGTTCCCCTCCAACCATCAAACACGTTGCAGATTGGTCGTCAACACCCCAACATATTGTCCTTGAACAACACCCGAAGGGCTCCGCGAAGGAGTTGCTTGGCCTCGCAGGTAAAAGCAGGTATTCCCAAATGGTTTATGTCTGCTTATGTTCTCGCGACAAATCAGTTCCCCATCGTCTTCCCCATCATTTTCCCCATATTCTCCCAATGTCATTGCAAATTCAGTGCAAATTCTAATAGGGGAAATGATGATCAACCCTCCATCATTGGGGTAAACGGTACGGGGTGTCATTTATCTGGTATCATCCAAGAGATCCACGTAGGACTCGCTGTTTGTCTTGGGCAAAGGACCCCTGAATTTCCCAGCCAGATATTTTAAAATGTGTATGGACTGTGTATGTATATATATATATGTATGTATGTATGTATGTATATATATGTATATATATATATATGTATGTATATGTATGTATATGTATGTATGTATATGTATGTATATGTATGTATATGTATGTATATGTATGTATATGTATGTATATGTATGTATAGGTATGTATATGTATGTATATGTATGTATATGTATGTATATGTATGTATATGTATGTTTATGTATGTATATGTATGTATATGTATGTATATGTATGTATATGTATGTATATGTATGTATATGTATGTATATGTATGTATATGTATGTATATGTATGTATATGTATGTATATGTATGTATATGTATGTATATATGTATGTATATATGTATGTATATATGTATGTATATATGTATGTATATATTTATGTATATATGTATGTATATATGTATGTATATATGTATGTATATATGTATGTATATATGTATGTATATATGTATGTATATATGTATGTATGTATGTATGTATGTATGCATGCATGCATGCATGTATGCATGTTTGGATGGATGTATGTATGTATGTATGTATGTATGTGTGTATGTGTGTATGTGTGTATGTGTGTATGTGTATATATATATATATATAGTGTGTGTGTGTGTGTTCATGGAACAGACAGCTCATGTCTAATCCATATGGTTGGGAACATGTATGCATTAAATATATCTGCAATGATGTGAGAGCCCCCTCTTGGTCAGTGATGATAAAATGCCCTGACATGGGCTTGTCCGAAATTAGAGTACTTCCAAATCAAACGGTTCCGCATCTTTTTGTTCCAATCAAATTGGCATGAATGGGGCTAGATCGGGATATCTCCTATTTTGAATCGAGCCCAAATCCCTATATTGTTCCAGACATCCCCACTCATCATTATATCTCAACAATCGGTGCATTGGTTCAGTTCCTCGTGCTGGTTCAATCCTCAAATTGACATATTTTTGCTACTCAAATCCTCAGCTTTGGTTGGTAATATCCCAGTCATGTTACGGAAATATATATATATATGTATTTATTAATATTATATATATATACATACATATGGCAAGTTAGTAGATTGCTACTGGGATATTGTGATGGGTATATAAATATGGGTGTGTCCAAAATATTCCCACTTTCCTCCCATTGACCAACTGGCCTGTCCACGCTGTTGCCTTCCTAGTGCTGCCGCTAAGATGATTGCCGCTGAAAGCCTCAGCGCCAGCGATGGTCGTTGAATTTATGGTAGTGGAAAATCATGGGATATTATGATATGATTATTTTTGATATGGTATGATATGGTATAATTTGCAGATGTAATGGATTTCTTTTCACGATATTTTTGATCTAGCAATCAAACAATTCTGTCCAGCCCAGTAAAATTGGCGGTTATCTCTTGTCTAAGAGATATTCACTTCTTGGGACGAACTCCCCTTCCGGGCTTGACATTAGCAACAACCAAACATGGCCTTACCCTGTTCCAAGCGCATGGAGCGATCCAATTGCTTGTTTTTCCCCCTTTTTTGCATGTGCTTGAGAGCCTTTTGCCTGGGTCAAGAAACTGTTACAGATGTCCGTAACATTCTGTATCTATACAACATCAAAAAAAGTGTTAGAGCATGTTAAACAATTGAAACTTCATTCTGATGGTCTTCACCTTCAGCGCTGGGCAGCCTCAACAACATCTTTGAAGGTGTAGAAGCCCTTGGCGGCAGCCACTGCATCCAGTGGATTCACCTTCGAGAACATGTTGTTGGTGACGGTGGAATCAACGACTCCGGCCATAGAGTTGTACACATCCATCACTGTTGTCTTCGGCACGGATGCCACCAAGCGGCCAATGGCTGCATTCACAGCTTCGTAGTCGGCCGCAGACGTCACACCGGTGGCATCAATGCTGCCAATGGCCTTGTGGTGTGCCTCTGCTGCTGCCTTCAAGAGGTTTCCATCCATCTTGGCACCCATCACTATCATCTTGTCGATGGCTTTCAGCGTCTCTGGGGCAGTCTTGCCGGGCAGCGGCTTCAAGTAAATGTCCGACAGCCAATCGATGTCCTTGATGAAAGGATAGGATGCATCGGACAACGCCTTTGCAGCTACACCAATTTTGTCCCCAGAAGGCACAACTGCAGGAGCACTGGCGGTGGTCACCTGGTTCTTTTCAACAACATCCTTGAATTCCAGGAATCCTTGGTAGGCCTTCTCGGCATCGGGTCCGTTCACCAAGGACTTCATGTAAGCTGGCACTCCGGGGTCCGTGATGGCCTTCACTGAATCGTAAACGGCCATGACCTTTGCTTTTGGGACCGAAGCAACTACACGGCCAAGGGCTGCATTCACGGCATCCCAGTCAGCGCGCGAAGTCACACCATTTGGCCCGCTGATGCTCCCGATGGCCTTGTGATGTGCTTCTGCTGCCTCCTTCAGAAGCTTGGGGTCTGCGGCTGCCCCCATTTCGATCATCTTGTCAATGGCTTTCAAAGCTGACAAGGGCTGAAACTTGCCAGGGGCCTGCAGGAAAATGCCATTGTTCCAGTCCACTTCCTTGGCAAAAGAGTAGGAGGCATCCCCAAGCTTCTTTGCAGCATCGCCGATCTCATCAGCAAAAGCCGCAGGAGCCATCATCATGCTGGCTGCTGCTGCGGCCACTGGAGCAGCATGCCGAGGCCCAGGCACAAAATTCAAGTGCTTCTGCAGGCCGCATGCAACAGCCACCGCAACTCCGACAGCAATAGCTTTCCTTGCTCCACGCACCATGGCCACCAAAAGTTTAAAAGTCTTAAAGTGGGCCGGAGTTGATCAAAAACTAGCTAACTAGCCGCTAAAATTGGCTTGAGCCAATGACATTTGAGTTGGTACATTTCCGGGTACAACATGATCTTGACACACGCATTTGAATCCCTCACATGTCCGCAATCACATGGAGATCCAGCTTGCTGCAACTGCTTCTTTTGCGCAAATCACACACCAATTCCATCCCATATCCATTTGTGGAGCTGGGCTGGTGGCACCACAGTATTCCCAAACATCAATCTGGTAAATCAACTGTAAGATCTGTATGCATCATACATCTGTATAAAACTATACAAGGAGTGCCGTTTAAACTATATACAGTATTAAACTTACTTATGTGCTGTAAGTCACTACAGGTTCACGAAGAAGCGCTACAGAGAGAAAGGCACCTCTTTCGATCTTGCCATCATCAATGTCTGAATCCCAGATTGTTAATGCTTATGACTCATGACATACAGTGTCCAAATTCAGCACTTTGTGAAAGTACAAGCATGTCAAAGTAATCGCCAATTGGCAGCGTTCACTTTTACTCCTTTGTTTGGCATCGCAGCTCACATCATTTGTTGCGCGTGTTTGTTTTTCCCCTTTTTTGCATGTGCTTGAGAGCCTTTTGCCTGGGTCAAGAAACTGTTACAGATGTCCGTAACATTCTGTATCTATACAACATCAAAAAAGTGTTAGAGCATGTTAAACAATTGAAACTTCCTTCTGATGGTCTTCACCTTCAGCGCTGGGCAGCCTCAACAACATCTTTGAAGGTGTAGAAGCCCTTGGCGGCAGCCACTGCATCCAGTGGATTCACCTTCGAGAACATGTTGTTGGTGACGGTGGAATCAACGACTCCGGCCATAGAGTTGTACACATCCATCACTGTTGTCTTCGGCACGGATGCCACCAAGCGGCCAATGGCTGCATTCACAGCTTCGTAGTCGGCCGCAGACGTCACACCGGTGGCATCAATGCTGCCAATGGCCTTGTGGTGTGCCTCTGCTGCTGCCTTCAAGAGGTTTCCATCCATCTTGGCACCCATCACTATCATCTTGTCGATGGCTTTCAGCGTCTCTGGAGCAGTCTTGCCGGGCAGCGGCTTCAAGTAAATGTCCGACAGCCAATCGATGTCCTTGATGAAAGGATAGGATGCATCGGACAACGCCTTTGCAGCTACACCAATTTTGTCCCCAGAAGGCACAACTGCAGGAGCACTGGCGGTGGGCACCTGGTTCTTTTCAACAACATCCTTGAATTCCAGGAATCCTTGGTAGGCCTTCTCGGCATCGGGTCCATTCACCAAGGACTTCATGTAAGCTGGCACTCCGGGGTCCGTGATGGCTGTCACTGAATCGTAAACGGCCATGACCTTTGCTTTTGGGACCGAAGCGACGATGCGGCCAATGGCTGCATTCACGGCATCCCAGTCAGCGCGCGAAGTCACACCATTTGGCCCGCTGATGCTCCCGATGGCCTTGTGATGTGCTTCTGCTGCCTCCTTCAGAAGCTTGGGATCTGCGGCTGCTCCCATTTCGATCATCTTGTCAATGGCTTTCAAAGCTTCCAAGGGCTGAAACTTGCCGGGGGCTTGCAAGAAAATGCCATTGTTCCAGTCCACTTCCTTGGCAAAGGAATAGGAAGCATCCCCAAGTTTCTTTGCAGCATCGCCGATCTCATCAGCAAAAGCCGCAGGAGCCATCATCATGCTGGCTGCTGCTGCGGCCACTGGAGCAGCATGCCGAGGCCCAGGCACAAAATTCAAGTGCTGCTGGACACTGCAGGCAACAGCCACCGCAACTCCGACAGCAACAGCTTTCCTTGCTCCACGCACCATGGCCACCAAAAATTCAAAAGTTCTAAAGTGGGCCGGAGTTGCTCAAAAAACAAGCCGCTAAAATTGGCTTGAGCCAAAGATGCGTATCCATAGTCCTAGCTCCCCCATATGCCCACCCACATTGTTGGTGTTGAACCCAAGTTAAACTTGCCAACCGAGTTTGCTCAATATGAAAAGTCTTGAGACGGAAAACTCTGATTGTAGCTCAAATGGTCCCCATTTTTTTCCATGGCTCCAAAGGGCCGCCTGGTCAAGAAATGTCAAGAAACTGTTACAAATGTCCGTAACATTATGTATCTATACAACATTTAAAAAGTGTGCTAAAGCATGTTGAAGCAATGTCGCAACTTCATGCTGCTGATGGTCTTCACTTTCAGCGCTGGGAAGCCTCCACAACATCTTGAAGGTGTAGAAACCCTTGGCGGCAGCCACTGCATCCAATGGGTTCACCTTCGAAAACAAGTTGTTGGGGACGCTGGAATCAACCACGCCAGCCATGGAATTGTACACATCCATCACAGTTGTCTTCGGCACGGATGCCACCAAGCGGCCAATGGCTGCATTCACAGCTTCGTAGTCGGCCGCAGACGTCACACCAGTGGCATCAATGCTGCCAATGGCCTTGTGGTGTGCCTCTGCTGCTGCCTTCAAGAGGTTTCCATCCATCTTCGCGCCCATCACGATCATCTTGTCAATGGCTTTCAGCGTCTCTGGGGCGGTCTTGCCGGGCAGCGGCTTCAGGTAAATGTCCGACAGCCAATCAATGTCCTTGATGAAAGGATAGGATGCATCGGACAACGCTTTTGCAGCTACACCAATTTTGTCCCCAGAAGGCACAACTGCAGGAGCACTGGCGGTGGTCACCTGGTTCTTTTCAACAACATCCTTGAATTCCAGGAATCCTTGGTAGGCCTTCTCGGCATCGGGTCCGTTCACCAAGGACTTCATGTACGCTGGCACCCCGGGGTCCGTGATGGCTTTCACTGAATCGTAAACGGCCATGACCTTTGCTTTGGGGACCGAAGCGACTACACGGCCAATGGCTGCATTCACAGCATCCCAGTCAGCGCGCGAAGTCACACCATTTGGCCCGCTGATGCTCCCAATGGCCTTGTGATGTGCTTCTGCTGCATCCTTCAGAAGCTTTGGATCTGCGGCTGCCCCCATTTCGATCATCTTGTCAATGGCTTTCAAAGCTTCCAAGGGCTGAAACTTGCCGGGGGCTTGCAAGAAAATGCCATTGTTCCAGTCCACTTCCTTGGCAAAGGAGTAGGAAGCATCCCCAAGTTTCTTTGCAGCATCGCCGATCTCATCAGCAAAAGCCGCAGGAGCCATCATCATGCTGGCTGCTGCTGCGGCCACTGGAGCAGCATGCCGAGGCCCAGGCACAAAATTCAAGTGCTTCTGCAGACCGCATGCAACAGCCACCGCAACTCCTACAGCAATAGCTTTCCTTGCTCCACGCACCATGGCCACCAAAAGTTCAAAAGTCTTAAAGTGGGCCGGAGTTGCTCAACAATTAGCCTCAAAAACTGGTTTGAGCCAAAGATGCGTATCCATAGTTCCTTAGCTCCCCCATATGCCCACCCACATTGTTGGTGTTGAATCCCAGTAACTTGCAAACGAGTTTGCTCAATATGAAGTCTTGAGACTGGAAAACTCTGATTGTAGCTCCAACTGGCTCCCCATTTTTTCCATTGGCTCCAAAGGTTTCCGCCTGGTCAAGAAACATAAGAAACTGTTACAGATGTCAGTAACGATACAAGAGTAAAAAAAATGTTTTGAGGCATGTTGAAGCAATGTCGAAACTTCATGCTGATGGTCTTTACCTTCAGCGCTGGGAAGCCTCCACAACATCTTTGAAGGTGTAGAAACCCTTGGCGGCAGCCACTGCATCCAATGGATTCACCTTCGAGAACATGTTGTTGGTGACCTGGGAATCAACGATGCCAGCCATGGAATTGTACACATCCATCACAGTTGTCTTCGGCACGGATGCCACCAAGCGCCCAATGGCTGCATTCACAGCTTCGTAGTCGGCCGCAGACGTCACACCGGTGGCATCAATGCTGCCAATGGCCTTGTGGTGTGCCTCTGCTGCTGCCTTCAAGAGGTTGCCATCCATCTTGGCGCCCATCACGATCATCTTGTCAATCGCTTTCAGCGTCTCTGGGGCAGTCTTGCCGGGCAGCGGCTTCAGGTAAACGTCCGACAGCCAATCGATGTCCTTGATGAAAGGATATGATGCATCGGACAACGCTTTTGCAGCTACACCAATCTTGTCCCCAGAAGGCACAACTGCAGGAGCACTGGCGGTGGACACCTGGTTCTTTTCAACAACATCCTTGAATTCCAGGAATCCTTGGTAGGCCTTCTCGGCATCGGGTCCATTCACCAAGGACTTCATGTAAGCTGGCACTCCGGGGTCCGTGATGGCTGTCACTGAATCGTAAACGGCCATGACCTTTGCTTTTGGGACCGAAGCGACGATGCGGCCAATGGCTGCATTCACGGCATCCCAGTCAGCGCGCGAAGTCACACCATTTGGCCCGCTGATGCTCCCGATGGCCTTGTGATGTGCTTCTGCTGCCTCCTTCAGAAGCTTGGGATCTGCGGCTGCCCCCATTTCGATCATCTTGTCAATGGCTTTCAAAGCTTCCAAGGGCTGAAACTTGCCGGGGGCTTGCAAGAAAATGCCATTGTTCCAGTCCACTTCCTTGGCAAAGGAGTAGGAAGCATCCCCAAGCTTCTTTGCAGCATCGCCGATCTCATCAGCAAAAGCCGCAGGAGCCATCATCATGCTGGCTGCTGCTGCGGCCACTGGAGCAGCATGCCGAGGCCCAGGCACAAAATTCAAATGCTTCTGCAGACCGCATGCAACAGCCACTGCAACTCCTACAGCAATAGCTCTCCTTGCTCCACGCACCATGGCAACCAAAAGTCCTTGCTCGGACGGAGTTGGTCAAAAAACACCTCCAAAACAGGCACTGAGCATAAACGTCCGACATTTGAAAGGTTCAAAGCAGGCACTGTGCAAGTCGTCCCAGTGATGCCAATGATGCGCTAATGCCGAATACAAATCGAGCAGGGCCTCTTTTTAAACGTCCCTTTCCAATTCCTGGAAGTACTTGGACTCAACGAGCGGCGGCTGCATATTTCGATCGCCTTGGTGCCAAGATCTAGGTGAGCCATGAAATTAGATCCCTATCCGTATCCCATCCCATTATACTAGTTGCTTAGTAGGGATCAGCTCATGCTTTGGACCATTCTGGGGATCATACGGAGCGGGGCCAAAAAGGCTTCTGTTCTGGCCTCAGTCTGCTTTGAATTTTGTGGCAGTTCAAGGTTCTCAGGCGACGGGTTTGGCTTTGCAGCTTGGCCCCACACCAGAGTATCTTTCAAGATCTCTGTATGCTCTCTCTGCTTTTCTGCCTGCAGCGATGTTCTGAGTGCACTGGCTCCCAGCCCTCACCGTCCAGGAAACTGGATGCATATGCAAGAAAGGTCAAGTGTGGGCGTCGAGAAATTGGAGATGCTCCAAATTTATCCAAAATCCGAAATGTTCATCTCTTTGTCATGTTCCGTCTTTGTAATATGCCTATTTAAATCTACTCACGTAGTCTGTCTATCAAACTTTACGGAGTGGAGAAACCATGAACAGCGCAGTGCTCTGTGTATATATAACCGCCGGCCTCCTCAGCCAGAATGTCGCGAAAAACGCTCTTAACCTCGAGGAATTCATAGCAGCTATGAAAGTGTCATGAAATGGAGGTTTCCATAAATGGTTATATACTATCCATAATAGGGATAACATGGGAGAGCTTCTATATACTTTACTATCCATAAATTGGGATGATGGAGGTTTCCATAAATGGGTGGTACTCCAAAATGGATGGTTTATAATGGAAAATCCTATGAACGTGGATGATAACTAGGGGTACCCCCTCGTGGAACTGCACTACTTTTCTTCCTGACCAGGTCGGAAAAATCTCCCAGGATTTTTTCCAAAGCTGCTGACCAGGTCGGCATGGTGATGGACCCCGATCCCATGGGGTGTCTACCAGTCGTCTACCAGTCCAACCATTGGATGGGGTGAAATAACTGCCAGCTGGAACCCAGAACTGCCAGCTGAGGCCAGAACCAGTGGTGGCACTGGAAGGCTGGAGATATCTTCTGGATCAAGGCGCCTCATCAACTTAAGTGGAACAATTGGAGGAGAACGAAAGAATGGTTCTATCATCTTTTATCTAGCTACCTAGCTATCTCATCCAATCTTATCTTACCTCATCTTACCTCATCTCTGTCCTATCCCTCTGGGCTTCCAGCTGCACGTCTGTCACCTCCGTGATGCAAATACTGGGCTGATTCCTGGGCGAAATTCACAGAGAAACCCACGGAAAACGGGGATGAGCTGCTGGTCGCTATGAACAAATGGATGTCCCCTTCTGGATTAATCAACAAATATGATATGTAGGTTATTCCAATATCACATATCTATATATGATGATATATATATATATATATGTAATACGTATATTTATATACACAATTGGAATATAGTATAATTTAGGCGGTAATAACAATTATTATTATTATTATTGTTACTATTATCATTACTATTTATAATAAAAGTAAATAAAATAATATATAATAATACTATATATATATATATATGTATACACCTGGCCGTACTACAATACACGGGCCTGAAATAAGCTAATGTTGCGGATGAGTCCCCAGGCCATCACCACCATTTATTGCCACGAGCACCACTCGATTGTGATAGCATAATATGGGTGTGTCTGAAAATTGGGTATACCCTCTGGTAAACTAACATAGCTATGGAAAATCACCATTTCTAATTGGTAAATCCACTATAAATGGCCATTTTCAATAGCTATGTTAGTTTACCAGAGGGTACCCCAAATGCAAATCTTAATGGGGAAAATATATGAACATATGATAGACCACTGCGGTTTGGGTTCCCTGTTCAGACAAAGCGATGTCAGAAATTTGCACATCTTCCCGGGACCATAAGCCAGCCATGGAACAAAGCTGATAGCCACCTCAGCGGTTGTGAACACCATATAAAAGGCCTGTATATAAGGGCTATGTAAGGGGATATACCTCCAAAATATAGCTTTATATGGTACGATGCCTCCAGTTTAGGTACCTGAAATAGCCGGTGATTCTTGTTCCAATGCAGGCATGTAAAAGCATGGAAAAAAATGGAAAACATAATGAATGCAACTACCTGGGACATCTAGAACTGTGTGAAAAAGCTTTGTTGGATGTAACAGCTACCTTTGCTCCAATGCTCAGCCAGCAACCCGTCAATAAACTCTTTCTTGTTTGGCAGTGCCTCAGCATGAGCTTCTGGACACGTCCCAAACCCCCAAAGCCTGGCAACCCTGATTTGGGACTTCAAAATTAGTGGTTTGTGGTACCCTCTGGTAATTTAACGTAGCTATTGGACATGGCCATTTATAGTGGATTTACCCATTAAAAATGGTGATTTTCCATAGCTATGTTAGTTTACCAGAGGGTATGTTGGATTTACACGCTACGCTCCAACATGACCAGGTCGCGCTGTCCAAAAGTGTCCTCAAGGATGAAGGCCTTGGAAAATCACGACCCACGGACACAAAAATTAAGACCACACATCCTGCTGGCCGAACTGTCCGGTTTGCAGTCACTAGTCAAAAATGGTTGCCTTCGCTAAATTCCGAAGCTCAATTTTTCTATGATCAAACATAGACTTGTCATTCTTCAGAATAGTCTTCGTTTTGGCCGGGGGTCACCATGTACATCTTCACACTTGCTCCTGGTTTCAATAACTTGTTGCAGATCCCTAGAGGGACCAACAAGGTTTCCATTTGCAAAGTGAGGGATGATCACTCAACTGATCACAAAATATGTATGTGTGTTTCTTTCATATTCTTTCTACTTACTATGTATATATATATATATATATGTGTGTGTGTGGTTTTTGAGCTCACAAAGGAATGGCAGCACAATACTTCGCATATGTTCAACTGGGCTCCGCGCCCATCCGGACAAGAGGGGACAGCACCTGCGGAGCCATGACGCCCAAAAAGGGATGGATAGGTCATCCCAGTGAATATATTCGCATATTACATATACATACCTGTTGATCTAGAATTACATAGGTAAAATCAATATCATCTATATATATATATGTATATGTATATGTATATATGTATATGTATATGTATATATATATATATCATAATTAATATACATTTGCAATATATATATATATGTACGTATATTAATATCCGTGTACAATATAGATATACAAAATTACATAGGGTAAATGAACATCAATTAACCATCATAGTACAATCATCTTGGCGATCACTCTGAGACTCCCTGCGTAGTCGCTTCAAGGGCTGTTGAGTTGGTGGCAAAGAAGGCCGACCTAAGTCCAGGAAACATGTGGCATGTTCAGCGAAAATAAGGATTTAAAAATGGGGCTTTCCATAAATGGTGGTACCCCAAAATAGATGGTTTCTAATGGGAAATCCATTGATAAATGGATGATAACTAGGGGTAGCCTTACTATCAGGAAAGCTCCCAATGAGTTGACCCATCTTTACCCTGTGGATTGGTAAATGGGATCCTTTCATGCCAGAGTGATCCAGGGTGCCAGCTTAATCAACTTGCCCGTCCTGTCTATCCGACCAGTTTTGATGTGGCAGTGGCCTTTTTTATTAACCTCTGCTTCTGAGCATGCAACATATGTATTTTTTGAGCTCCAAAATCATGTTCAGATATGTTCAGGGATTTCGTGGGTACATCATATATCCAAAAAAGTCCAGAATATCTCAGAGCCAAAAATCTTCCCCTTCGACAAAACGGATCATCAGCGGGCATCCTATCCAGGTCTCTGTGGCGATTTCAATCAACTGATGTGGTCCCAAATCGCAGACAGCACTGATCCAAGCAGAGTTATAAGATAAGAATCATGTAAATTTTGTAAATCATTAACGATCACATATTAGAGGTAGAGAATTTTGACGCTACTGCAGCAGCAAGTTGCCAGTCTGGGTCTCCAACGCATTGGCGACTTGGGCGGGGTCATGAAATCCAACATTACCTTTCCACTTTGCTGGAGTGCAATTGTGTACAACTAAGTACAACGCAAAATTGGGTGCCCAAATACAGGATGATAGTTGATCCTGAAAGTGCCCTAAATCACCCAAAATCTGTGGTCAGCCGGGCTGACCAAATTTTGAACTATACACAACTGGCATCGGAGAAAACAGCAGTAGCATCGCCTGTCTTCCTCAAAGCACCCTTGTCGACGCCAAAAAGGAGCTGACACACTGCACTAAGTTTCTCTAGTCTTAGAGGTTTGCATTGGCTTGACTCGATGATCAAAATGCATGTGCTGCAACTGCAGTAGAATACCTGACCATTTCATGGGAGTTTTCTTTGATCGTATTTGCAGTAATGTCTTTTATCTTTTGACAGTTTGACAGTGATAATGCTTCGGTCTTCAGAATTTGATGGATGTTGGCTCTCCAAACTCAATGCCTCTTCTATGCAAGTTGCCGCTGAAGCTAGTTGTGTAATGTTGTGTATAACTTGAAGCTGAAAGCCAAATCCACGAAAGGAAATGCCCAGATCATCTCATGACTAAGGTAAAAGACCTGGAATTCCTCCGGACCATATCGGAGGACTCTTCAGAAATGGAAAGTACTCCGTGTGAGAGATTTGTGCACGGCCACAATGGAATTCGCGTGAATTCGCATTTCATTCCATACATTCCATATATATATATATATCAAATTACTATGTGTACATATATATATACGTATGTATATATAATATTCCATACATTCCAATGGCTGCTGCTTCAAATCACATCGGGCGCGTAATAATCCCTGCGGGATCAAGGCACGTTGTGATATCGCTGCAGCAATCTCTGCAGTTCCAGCTTCCTCGCATTCTTTTGCTCCTTGCCGGGTGAGCTGAGGTTGGTGAGTTGATTCTGATTTGCACCAGGGGATGTGTGGATGATTGTGGATGTGTCTGACCATCAGCTATACTGCAGCTATACTCCCCAAAATTACCCTCTGGTAAACTAACATAGCTATTGAAAATGGCCATTTTTAATGGAAAAATCCACTATAAATGGCCATTTTCAATAGCTATGTTAAATTACCAGAGGGTATATGGAAAAATCATGAACGACCCATGAAACTTGGCTCCCCAAGCTCGGCTCCTCCCGTCCGGACACGATGCGCTTTGTCAGGCCCGTCATCTCCAGGGATTGTTTGTGCAAGAACTGCTCCTGCAGTTCTAAAAAGTGCTGCAGTTCCATGGCCATGTTGAAAATCCATGAAAATCCCACTTTTTTGATACTTCTTAGTCTTCTTAGGCCTTCTTAGGCATCCAAGATCATCCAAGTAGCTAGAACTGGGAGATACTAGGAGATACTAGGAGACTTTCGATGTTTTTTTTTTGGGGAAAAACTCGTTAAGCACCGCTGTCAACCGCTACGATTCGATTCCTCAAGGCTCCGGATCTTCGCTTCGCGCTTGCTGCTCCAAGCTTCGCGCTCCTTGGCCTGGATCGGGATCATCCCATGGGAGGGACAAAATATGAAATCACTAATCAAACAGACATTGATCATATGAATATATATATATATTATATATATATATATATATACATATTACATATATTTATATATGAATCATACGTCAAATCATATAGTTGGTGCTTGAGATATCTTGAGATTGCTTGAGCTGTCCCAAAGATGATGATTTCACAGCTTGGCAGTTGGGATCCTGACATTTTTTCGGGAAGATCAACACATGTTGAACCCAAAAAGCAGACACTTCACCTCGAGGATGTCCGCTTGCTGCTTTGTCTTTCCAGCCTCAGAGTACCTGGACACGCAGATGGAAAACGTGTCCATGCATAGAAAGTCATAGAAGCTCCAGAGGTGGGCAATGAACGAGATTGACAAAGATTGAACACAATCCAGTTTTCAGGATTGGGATTCTCGCAATCTGTAGGAATATCACACGAGTCAGGAACAAAGTGGACAAGTTGGACCGAGCCAATTTTAGTTAGCTCTCCTTTTTCCCGAACTGGTAGCTTCTATGTTTTTGTTTGTTTGTGAGCTCCTGAGCCTACCGTGAAACAAGCTGGATGATGCATTTGAGAGATACAGGGCTTTCACCTTACGTTCAGGATGCATCAGGATGAAATAGGATGAACACACGTTGAACAGGTACCCTCTGGTTATTTAACATAGCCATGGAAAATGGCCCATTTATAGATGATTTTCCCATTAAAACCTCCATTTATAAGGGATTTTCCATGGCTATGTTAAATAACCAGATGGTATACTTATACAACAGTTATACAACATTCAGTTTCTTACCGGTAACATCCGGTAACGGGTAACGTTTCACGTCGGCGATCTCAACTGAGCCATGCACTTCTTCATCTTGGCAAGAGTATCCTTCGAGGGTAACAGTAGAACTGAAAGCATCTTGCAATAAAGGGGTGTCCGCAGTCTGGAGCATTTGGGACGGTCGCCACATGCGGGACTTGCGGGGATCAAACAGTCAATAATTGTGAAGTTTCCTGTTGCGGCTTTCATCTCAAGCTCAGAGTTTCTTACAAAGCACAGAGAAGCTGTTTGGGCGCCCTCGCCATTCTGCTCTTTTTGACACTGCACTAGCTGCGTTTCTGGCCAAAATGCCTTGATTGAACTACTTCCTTGGCTTCATCAGCATGAAGTAACCAGCCAATGTAACCTGTCTTGTACAAGTATAAATACGTGTAAAACATGTACCGGTTTTGATGTGTTTTTTTTACTCCCCTGGATGATCCTGGTCCAGTCTGTTTTAACCATGTTTTAACCTGTGGATGTTTGCGGATGCTCCTGGATCTTTCTCAAGTTCAGCAAGTCTTTGCTGAAGCGCGGGTTCCGCGGCTCCGTTTCCATCTCGAACTGGGGTTCCACGGATGGCCGACGGATCGCCGTTTTTTCGGGTGATTGGAACTGACGACGGATCCAGCAAAGCACCGCAGCCTTTAACAGAAAAAGATGGGATAAAATGGAGTAAGATGGGCTGATTCCAGCTTCCAAGCTACACTTCAGGCTCCCAAACTCCGGCCCCGGACCTTTTTTCGAGCCTCCGCAAACTCCTGATTGTGCCTGCTGAGTGGCTAACCAAGGTTTTGCAACATGTTTGAACATGTTTTGGGTATGGACAGGAAGTATGCCAAGAGTGGAATGGCCTTCCAAGCAAAGAACAGTAAACCGAAGTTAAAAATCCAAGTCACTCCAAGCAGAAAATCAATCCATGAAACCCCAGACTTCTTTCGACCAAATAGCAGGACACACACACAACCGGTGGGATTGATCATCAACTGCGGCAACAGCCTTGGCTCCTAAGAAATAGTTGTCACTTTCGGATCATCCCAGGGATGGAAATGATCAAATTTGCCCCTAGAAAAACAGAAAAGACAAACATCATTCTTGATAGACTGACCTATCCATGTCTGGAGAATTCATCAGAAGCCACTCCCCCTACATCAAAAAATGGGTGAGTCAAAATTGGGTATCCATGGGTATCCCAATACTTAGACGGTCAATGCCAGTTAATTAATGCAAAAAAAAAACTAAAACTAGACTAACATCTGTGGCCTGGGTCTTAAATCTTGACTCATTCCCACATCATCTACCACTCAGTTCTCAACTGGCTTGCCTCTCTTGCAGCTGAGCCTGTAAGCTGGCAGCATGTGCTTCGAATTCAGCCACCTCCGAGCCATGGATCATGCGGCTAAACAAAGAATTGGGGTTCCAACAGAAGAGAGAAGTGGAAAATAGTGGAAACACCAGCTAGTAAAGTCTTCTTGTCACTGGTGGTCATATTGGAAGTCGTATCTCTATGTCCATGAAAGGGTTGGCATTGGCACTGCTTTGTGCGCCCCGATCTTCGGCCTTCTGGTCCCAGTGTTGATTGAATTCCTGCAGTTCCTTCATGTGCGCCTGCACCGTCAGCATCCAACGTCTCTAGCACGGTCAGATTGATGCTTTGAATGTCAATTACCCTCTGGTAGACTAACAGTTTGCAATGGAAAGATCCACCATTTTTAATGGGAAAATCCACTATAAATGGGCCATTTTCAATAGCTATGTTAAATTACCAGAGGGTAGATACAATGTTTGAATGTCAAGTAACACATGCATTATCCGCTACGATCTTCTCATCACCGATCTATCTTACGCTTGATGAATTCTATACTCAAACACTACTGAAAGGTGGCCTCACCCCCAAGAAAATGTTAGTCACATGGGTGACAGAAACATAACACATATTTTGGAAACTTGAATCCCAATCATTTCTTATTGGTTCATCTCCACTTCTATCCTCATCTTTAGAGATCTTGGGCGGTTTTTTACTCATTCCCTCACCCACTACGAAATGCAAACCACTAAACAAAGCACCTCTTCCACTCCTAGACGCTGTGCCAGCTGCCTCTGCCGCAGGGCCTGCTACGTGCTGCGGTCGAAGTGTTTGGCTAATCGCAAGGATAAGTTGGAGTGATTGTAAGAATATGATTATGAATATATAATATCATGTGGATAATTTAAAGAGTAGTGGTACAGTTGTTTTGTGATATAATATACTGTAAATACTTGCTGACAATGATAACTTTGACACAGCGGCTTGCAACGGCTTGCATACCTATATTCTATATTCTATATTCACATCTTCGGCTCCGCGCAATGAAGTGTTGCTAGCTGGTGGTATCGCATGGGTTTGTCCAACGATGGGTGAAGCATTTTCCATCCACCAACTGCTGGTTCATCACCAGGTGTGAAGACATTTCTGGACAAAACTGTTTAAAACTTCATATATTCCATCCAAACATCCCATATGTAGCACCTCTTTTCGCTTGGCATCGGCCTTTTCCTGCAAGAGGTCCAGGCGCATCCTGATGTAAGACCAGCTATTCTGCATTGCTGCAAGTGGCAACCTGTTGCTGGGGAAATATATGTTTCATAGTGGATGGAGGTCTAGGTATGTGGCATAGGGATATAGAATGATATAGAGGGATTTGGCGGACAGAAATCAGTACGTATCCCTTCCCCAGAGTCGAATCACCTGGGGAAGTGGAGCATTGACAAACTCCAAGCAATTCCAATCGTTCCGCATCCATATCAGGATTGCAAAAGCTTGCTATCTGCACCAGTTGAACCCGCTAGCAGTAGTTCACTATGTTCACTTGCTTCTTGTTCCCCGGCTTCTTGAGTTCTCGACTTTACCTGCTCGGCGTCTTCATATTTGCCCTGCGCAAGATTTCATCTCAAGTCTGCTCAGGGGTTCATATCGGCCCGAAACAAAGCAATATAACTCAGCCAGAATGGTAATTTGATGTAATTTGATGAACCGTGTAGTTGGCTTCGAATGGACCATTTTGCAACCCTAGTCTTTGTGGCCAACTTGAGGTTAAGGGTGCAGGTTGACAACTTACAGCACTTGAAGGCAGCAAGGCTGGCTTCAAATAGCAGGCTTGGGGCAAACTTGAGGCATCTTCGGGCCGTAAATTGGCAGCCTACAACCCACACTCAGTTTACTGCTGAACAAATGCAGTATCATGATGGAACATGCTACTTGTGGCTCGTGGGAAGCCGTCTTTGGAAACCTGAAGATAGCGAGCAAATCTCAATTGTCCGAGAAAAGGCACTCGAGTGCGCTGGTTTTTGGTGTCTAAAAAGTCTAGAAATGATTAAACATAGCCTATCAGCCAAACCAATGGTGTCCCTGTAAAACCAAGCTCCATTATTTGCTGGATTTCAAATGCTGGAATTCCCCAAATGGTCTCCGGCGATTCCGCCAATGCGCGTTGGGCCTCGATCTCAAATTGTTTCCGCTGCTGATCCAGGGCCTGGGGATGAAATTGGGGCTGGATTGTTGATGGCTTGAAGAGTCATCACTCAACCATCCCAAACATCATCAATCCATATATCAATCCATATATCAACCATATCAATCCGCCATTCATCCCATATTCATCCCATATGCATCCCATCATCCCAATGCTTTTCAGCTGTTCATGAACAAAGAATCTGCTGTTGATACGTTCAGATGATGGGATCGACTTGGGAGATGTCGTTCACCCAGCCTCTGCACAGGCATCCAGATCTCCATCGTCACTAAACTGTGCGGCCTGCATTGAACAAGATGAAGAGTTGGATCACAGAAGGTTGCACATGGTTGCACCATAATGTTATACACCATGGTTTCCCACCTTAGATTTGACTAGGTCTGGTTGGTCATGGTTGGTCTACATAATCCATTACTCCTTTTTGCCTGCTTTGTGACGTACACATTCTGCAAATATCTTCTTTCAAACCCCATATGTTTGCAATGTGCCCCTGCCAAGCCCCTGCCAAACTGCTCGGCCTTGGAATATTGCCAGAATCCATTGGCATCAGATTAACCTCAATCCGCTATCCTTGCTATCCTTGCTGTTTGGGTCAACATACCGCGCCTCCACGGATGCCATGGCTGCACGCCTGCAAGGTAGTTGTTTGCATTGTCTGGCTCCATCGGTGCGAGCAAATGGTTTCCAAGTCTTGAAACAACTTCATCATGGACTACAGAAATCAGAAAAAAATACACTCTCAGCACCCCAAAATCAGACTATGAGACTATGACAGACAAATCTAATTTGTCCAGCTTGCCGTGTCCCAGGCAACATCCTGGCAGGTGAGCACTCTCTCCACAAAAATCTGTGAATCCCAGGCATGATGGAAATCCAAAATGAAAGCACCAACTCGTCGATCCCCTATCATCAGCCTGAACACTTCTCCATAGCCAGTAATATCACATCTTTGTCCATCTCATCCAGCGACTCAAACACAATCAACTGTGGTTTCGGTAGAATCTGATCAGGTGTTTTGGGATGCTTTGGTGGCACAAAAGGCTTCTGGTTCCAAGGTCCGTAAACTTCTGCACTAACAGATCTCCGTGCCGTCATCGCCCTTTTCTGGGGTAGGGGAAGCTCATCAACATCATCATCCTCATCGTCACTGTTTGCAATCGCTTTCTTGTCAGCCCCAGAAATGGGCTTTTGCGACTTTGGCTCTTCCGAATACATGCTGAACCGGCTGGACATCAAATGCTCCAAAGGACCAAGAAGTCTTTTGAAGGTGTCCCTATCCATGGACAAGATTGTAGCATGGTCACTTGTGACCTTGATAGTGGCTGCACGGGGATGATCCTTTAGGATGGCAAGCTTTCCAACTAGTCTCCGGCTGAAAATCACATCATTTGCTTGGCTGGTCCATTGTTGACACTCTTCAAGGCAACCAAAGTCCCTTGGCACCCTTGGCATTCTTCACTTTTAGCCAGCAAACCCATCAGAGAGGTCGCTAGCCGGTGGGCCAGGATGTTTCAAGTGGAGTCTGGTGTGCAACAAGCATCACTCGCCACCAAACAAACTGCAAGCCAGGAATGTCCAGAGGCTTTGCCCAGTCACTACTGACTGCGTCATATTGCGTCAGCCTGGCTAGGTGACCTTCAAGATCTCCGGATGCAGTGAGCGAAATTTGCAGCCAGGAATGATGTCGTTGGCGCTCAAGGCAAAGGCAGTGTGATTCAGTTCTCATCGAAACCCAGCGGCCTTGCTGCTTCAACTTAGGCCAAATGACAAATACCAGTAATGCGAGAATGTCGACAATCTTCATTATAGCGAAGTGAAGAACATGCACGCAAGTTGGTGCGACCCCAGCTGCTGCACTGTTTAGGTGATATCGAACCGGAACAGCACCTGTTCCTACTTCCATCAGTCTTTCTGCCAACACACCATTTTTTCGCAGCTTCAGGATGGAAGACATCGGTTGCAAAGTTCTTGATCCAGTCTTGGTCACAAGCGGCAAAGTCACAAGAGTCACTTTGATGGACCTGGTGCCTCAGGAGCATCCAGGTGGTGCAATGATGTGCAATGTGTGACGAACATGGCTCCAAATCCCAAAATCAAGTTGCCAAGGCAGCAATGCGAAACCGGTCAAAGAAAATCAAAGCAGGAGGTTGATGATAACAACTGTATACCACTAACAAGCAAATCAAATAGTTCAAGTTTTCCCGAATCACACTGCAGCAGAGGTTGGTTACTTGAGTATTTGGTGTTTGAAACATTGTAGGCAAATCACCACCGCAAGTCAATGCCAAACAGCCCGTGGTGAGGAAGTTGGATTGTGAATCCCGTTCTTAAATTGGGAAAGTATGGGAAAACTTTATCATCTGGGATGATCTTGGGATGTCCACCATTTCCCCACCATTTCCCCATCATTTTTCCAAATTTTTCCCATCCCCGGCACCGCACCTGGATATGCCAGCCACCCGTCTCGCGCAGCCAATCGGACGTCCTGGGCCGTCGCACCGTGCGTGGCGACGTCGTCCCCTTGGAGCGGACTTCGACGGACTCGTCGCTGCGGTAGCGGATCTCCAGGATGTCGTTGCCTGGAAGCATCCCTGCAATGGAGGAAGGCTCCCAGGAGGTCCCTAATGATTACCTATAATGTTTGCCATTTGTTTGCTTGGGCTTCCCGGGTTGTAAAGAAAAAAATCTGTTGTTTGCAAACTGTTCTGTTTTTCTGAGATGGAATTGGATATGGAAAATGACGATGGAGGAACACTGGTCCGGGAACCCGGCAAATCGGGCCTGGAGGCATCTTCAGTATGGCCACAACCCCTTCTGCGGTGGGCTTGGAATACGGAAACACCTGCCACGCGTGAGAGCATCTAACAGTCTAACAAAACCACTCGGTATGCAATGGCTACCTGGGAAAAAAATACTGCGGAAAGGTTGGTGAAGCATAAAATGGTTGAGCATGTTTCTTGATGTCATTTGACTTCAGTCTCTCAATATCCAAGAACCTGAGGCCAATAACATTTGATACTTGCTTACAGCAGCTGATCATTCTTCAAGTTGTTTTTCCGTTGTTCCAGCCAAATCCATAGACTTCTTAGTTTGATCATTGAACCACCAGCAATGGTGGTTTGATGGGATTTGTTGAATGTGGCTCTACTTTAATGGGTGGGGTTTAATGATGGTTATAGTTTAATAGTCATAGTCATACTTAAAGTTGTATACGCTGATATACATATAATATAATATTGATTATAATGTGTATATATATATAATATACACACCATATATTGCACCATGAAATTTTGGGGAGAATAAACGAATAAAATCGAATAGACATCAGAACCACCAGGTGCTGAGCCTCACAAGTTGCTCCATCAGACAGCTGCACCTGGCAGCATTGCTGGAAGACAGGCATCATCCAACCATCATCCAATTCTGCAAAAAGAAAATGTATGTTACTGTTGCAGTATATATGGTTTATGCAAATTATCCAAATCCATCCCAATCCTATAATGTGAATTCGTATCCCTTGGTGCCTCCTTTGGTTCACTTACAAAGATGTGCCCCACCTAGAGACGTATATTATGACTGGCTTGATCACTCCACTGGTACCCCCGGCACCTTAGCATTGCCACCTGGCGAGTCCAGAAGCACTCGAGCGCCGCGGCCGCGCTGAATGAGCCGGTCCTGCGAAGATGCGGAGTATTGGAGCTCCGAAAGTATCACAAAGTTCTGTTGATTCTACTGGACCACATCCCCTGATATGCCAAAAGCATGTCCTTGTTTTGGGTGGAGCCGGCTTTTCTTCAGTTGAATCTGTCATGGTGATCGAACATCCCCCCAAAAAGAAACACCTTTGACGAGCGGCACGTCGTTGATTGCATGGTTACAAAGTTATCGTCTGCACATCAATGCAACTCTTCCTTGAAACTTACCACTACCTCGCAACCGCTCCTTGCACATGACCGCCAGATCGCTATACTGGGCATGCTCTTGAGGGCTCCTAGCCGGGCAAAAGCACAGCTGCACATGGATTAGAAAAGTTACAAAAAGGATTCACATGGGCACGGGTACTCCCTTCTCACTCGACCTCCGTATCCAAACATGTCGATGATGTTACAGCGTTTCGCCATCCATGCCTTCGGATCTGATTTCAAGTTTACTTTCAATCTCGATTGCATTCCATCATCTTCCATCATCCTCCATCATCTTCCATCAGTTTTATCACTAGACTTGGAACCTGGAAGCCTGGAAGTCCCCAAGGTTTTTCAATGTAAGCAGCGCTTGCGCCACCTGTCTTGAGCACCCCAATGAAGCAGCTCCCGAGCTGTCGGAAGACCCGCGGGAAGCTCGGCTTCGATGCTCAGCAGCACCGTGTCCTGCCATTTCAGCTGGAGATGTCTGATGGGTTGGGCACCCGGCAGATGATCCACCAAACTTGGCTTGATTCAGATGAGGGTTTAATTGTTTAATTTGAATATTGGTTCATTAAATTTGATGAAAACTTTTGTGTTCTATGATTCATTCACTTCAACAAATGGTATCAAATGGTTGGGGCGAGGTGGTATCCCCGATTCCTTCATGTTTGTGATAGTGCTGCTTGGAGGTGGTCCGAGAATTGTAAACATACCACGACTAAATCATCAGAGCCAAGCCCAAGATCTGTGTTTGCTCCGAAAGTAGTAGTAATTACTCCAAAATCCAGCGGTTTGAATCACAAGTGTCCCTATGAAAATTGCCATAACTGGGGGGGTATACCATGGTATACCGTTGTTTACCCCATGTTCAGACACGCCCATGTTCGGCTGAAGGCACGCCATTTGCATAAGTATCTTTAGCATCTGATCCAGCCTCCACTAGTTGCCCTTTGGCAGCGACATCTTCAAACAGGCGACGCTTTGGCATGTCCCACGCCATGCCCGCGTTGCAGTGTCGTTCGGACCGAGAATGGCCCGGGTGAAAAGTTGTGCGTCACAGAGATTCGTACACACTGTATTTGTATGAGAGGTGTAGTACGTTCAGCAGTGTTCAGTGGTGGACCCTCAAACTTGTTTGCAGATTGTGAGTGCCGAAAGAACATGTCCTGCAAGCAGTCTCGAAACTATAAACATCAACAGCGTTGCAGGTGTATACCGGGCGCACAGTTTTGCTTGTTGATGGTTGACTCTAATGTGGAAAATTCGTAAGGATATGACATCCTAATGCTTTGACTTGACTGCATGGAAAAATGCAATGACCCGGGAAGGGATTCGCCTTGAAAGAAAATGAAGATGTCTAAAATGTGTCTGACCCTTGCTGAGACCCAATTTTTGAACACGGAGCGCTGCATCAGGCTGAAATCATGCTTTCTGAAAGACTTTTTGAGAGTCCAACTTTGAAGCGGACTGTTCTATCCTGCCCTCTGCCCAGAAAAAGTGTCAGCTCAAACAAAGGGACTCAATCTTTAACAGGCTGCTGTTAAATCGAGACAACCACAGTAACACAATCACGAAATTGGGGATTTCAAGATAGCCAGCATCTCAGCAAAACCCGACTTGATGCACAGAAGCAGAATAACAAGTTACACACCTGTTCAAAATTTATTCAAACAAAAAAACAAGAATTTGGGAGCATTTGGGAGCAACATGAAGCAACCATCAAATTTACTAACATCAAGTAGCCAACCAATCTTTGTTCTTCCTGAAAGTTCATTGCCATCCCCTCCGCACCTCTGAAGGGCCCTGAAAAACGCTACGACCCTCGTGCCCCGTGAAGCAATGAAGCTGCGGAAGAGAAAGCTGGACTTCAACGGAAGGGCGCTTCTTGGTTCCATGGATTGGTTGAAGGCAAACTCTGCAAGGAAAATCTAAGCCTGGGATTCGCGGTAAACCAACAGGGAATCCTCCCAGGAATCGAGAATCACCAAACAACTCACTTGCCATCAGTTGACTTGAGGATCAAAAGGGACTGAATGGGGATGTTCCAACTTGGCGAGGGTGGTTGAGCTCTCCCAGAGACCGCGGATCCGAATCCAGTGAGTTTGATGGCTGGTTACATCATGTTACATCTCCTTGCTTGCTTCTGTAGAGCATAGTGCCCACCCCCGCTACAACCTACAGCACTTAGAGGTTCAGTGTTTCACTTGAGGCAGACTCACTAGGAGATATCATCTAATCTGCACTGCTCAAATGCTCCTTTGAAACGCCAAACATATCGCTTAACGCTCAGCTTCTCAAGGTGAAACCGGACTGGCTTGTGGGCCAGGTGCTGTCGATCTTGGGCTCACCAAGTGGCAAAAAAACGGAGTGATGGTCTGCCACAGATTTCCAATACGCTGTCCAGGCACACTCATGTTCATGAGCTGTTGCTGCAATGGCGATCTTTTTGATGTTCGCTGATGCTCATAGCGTCTTGAGCTTGCTGTGTGACATGGACATGCGGCCAATGTCAGGCTCTCACTTCGTCAGCATCAATTGCTGCCTTCCAGGAAAGCAAGTTTGGCACAATACATCTTGAGTGAGAGTTGGTCCATACTCTGATCAACACCTTGATTCTATCTAAGTGAGCCTGGCATATCTTGTCTCTCTAGCAGGTGTATCCCACCCTTCACAAATTCTGGGAATCCTTGATTACCCCATTCTCTGACACTAATATGCACGTGCACCTGGAATCCCAAACAACCAAACATAAATGGTCGTTTCCCGATACAAGTAGTAGTCAAGAATATCCACATAAAAAATGAGTGTTCCAGGTATGTACATTATTTTGTTATATTGGGTATTCCGAATGGAAGTGTCCAACATAAATCGATTTCCGATTTCCACATCCGCCTCCTCAGCATGCCTGACCAAGGCCTCATGGCTGAGGGGTTGGAGAAGATCGGTGTCACAGGCCGACATGTTCTATCCCTGTTGAACTCACATTATGTTCACACATGTATTGGGATTTCAAAAATGTACACTGTATTCACAATATGTCAATCAAACATGCCAAGCGGATTCAGAACAAGAGCTGGAACCAAGACATACTGTGTCACTCAAATGATTGCCTCTGTGCATTGTGATGGTTCTATTGAAATCTGGAATGTGCCTCCCCAGCACAACTTTGGCCGCATTTTCTTTCTCTGGGACACTTGTCAGAGTGATGCTATAGCACAGTACAGTACTAGATTGTTTTTTCCAGTTCTTGAATGTTTTGGAATTTTGTAGACTGTTTTGTTTTTTTTCTTCAGTTTTTCCTGTGGAGTATTTTGGAAGTCTCTGGAATGGTTTCGAAGCTTCTGGAGTGTTTGTTTTTTGAAACTGTTTCGAGATATGTTTGCAATGATTTAGGTCAAGCCAAGATTGACTCACGAGTATCCCTGTTTATGAGTACCCTCATCCTCAACAAAGACAGCAGCAAAGGCTGCCATGAACGTGAATTCAGTCCAAACATGCAAGATCAACACTCAGGAACATTGTTGCTAAAAGGAATGTCATCTCTGACTGATTATCGTGCCATATCTTGCTGTACAGAATCGTCTCATGACAATTGGGCTCTCAGAACCCACACCGCACAGTGCTCGTCAAAGCTCAACATGCCACGGGCCTCAATTGATCAACATGGGAAGCTCCCACACAATTTATGCATCCAATATCTGCCATTGGCCAGCGTTGTTCTTTGCTGCATATTATGGAGAATGACATCCAACCACTGGTGAACTGGTCAAGAATGAAGCCTTCTGTCAAGAGTTGAACGATGTTCCATCTTAGAGCGGCTCGGACACAAATGTGTGCGTCACGACAGTAGTGATAGGGAAGTGAGTCAAAACCCTGGTACCCCTGGTGAACCTCAAAATAGCTGGAAATGGATGTTCATCCCACTAAAATGTATCTATAGGTATTGACCCATACCCACATCATAGAACGTCTGTAAAATTAAATTACCTGTACATACCTGTACAGCACATTAGCTTTGGGTTTCTGTGACAAAGACTCCCGAAGTGATACCTCACAAGCTCGTCATGCTCAGCTCCAATTTTCCGATTGCAGGACCACAAAATCAAAGTTTCTCAGCATCCACACAATGCCCAGCATCGCCAGTGAAACTTCCTCGTCCTTTTGGTTTCCCTCTGCTTTGGCCACCTCCGGTGCGGCTTGGTTCCTAGCTGATTTGTGACTGATTGATTGATTTGAATTTGAACATGAACCAAGCAGGAACTCTTCTGCAGCATTCGGAAAGGAATTTGAACATGAAAAAGGCAACCCCGCAACCAACTGCACCAGTCGCAACCAACTGCACCAGTCGCAGCGCTTTTTTCCACAGTGCCCGCAGCTAGTCTTGCGCCTTGCGGCGTGAAACTGAAGTGCGAGGCGACTCTTCGTGAATTCAGCACAAGGCCAGCCGGCCTCATGGCCCATTTGCCCATGGCTTCCAGGCTGGTGATCTATGTCTCAGATAACAACAGGGAGTGATTCTGCAAACATCCCGAATAGTGAAATATTATACAGGTAATGATTGGAAATTATTGAAATGAAACCAATTTTAAAACAGAACCACTCTATCATGGAAGAGCACATCTGAATTGTTGACAAATGTCACATTATGAGCAAGGCGATAGCAATCGTGGGAAGTTGTAAGATTTGGTTGATCTCTTTTGCAGCCTTCCAGAGGGCTAGCGAGGCAGACGTGTGGCACTAACGCTCATTTGTTCTTCTTAGTCTTCTTGGCTGCTGCGAGAACCATTGATGCAGAAATGACCTGTTTTTTTCTTGTAGGAAAAGAAACCTGGAAAGGCCGAAATTTCCTGTGTGTAACCAAGAACTGGGCTTTAAACAAGTAACCCCCCCTGACCGCTGACCATGCCATTTTATGTTTATTCAGAAAATCAAATCCTATATATATATATTCCATCCTCAAGCTCAAGCAGAGGTGCATAACATTGCAAGATATTGCAAGTACCATGTGTCCAAGGACCAAAAGATCAAAACATATCAAAACCAGATATTACAGACCTGAAATCAAAATTGCAAAGTTCTTGAAGACATCAGTTGCACGACATCCATCGCCCGGAAGTTCCCCGACCAGGTAGACTGGTGCTGACCCAAAAGTCGGTCCCTGCCGCTGGGCATTTAAGTTGACCTACTCCATCAGCTTTTTGCCAATGGTTTCATCCCCAGCAGGATGGACATGTGCTCCACATCACTGCGATTTGAATAAGTGCTGCACTTTGGAATCAATCAAATTCCCCATTTTGAAATGGATAAAGAATCAATACAATATATATGAGAGAGAGAGAGAAAGAAAGAAAGAAAGAAAGAAAAAAGAAAGAAAGAAAGAAAGAAAAAAAAACTATAACTTCATATAGCTATATTTTAACATACCAGTAGTGCCGCACAAGGCGGTGGCGGAAGTTTCAAAGGTAGGAAACTATGGGAGAGGTGAGTTGCTGTGATGCATGGATGGCAGGGCGAATCCATTGATGGACCGAAAGGCGGCTGTGAATTTTGGAGTGGTTGCAGTGGTCACCCAACTGCAGGATGTAGTGTGGTGTAGCGAAGTGCAATGCCGCTTTAGTTGTAGTTGTAGCTGTAGTCGTTGTTGCAGTTGTAGTTGTAGAGTACTTGAAGCGTAGTTGAAGTTGAAATGTTGTAGTTGTAGTTGTAACTGTAGCGTTGTGAAATGGCAATTGTACTTGTAGCTGTAGTTGAAGTGTAGTTAAAATTGTAGTTGTAGTAATTGTAGTAATTGTATGTAATTGTAGTAGTTTTACGAGTTGTAGGAGTTGTAGGAGTTATAGCTGTAGTTGTAGCTGTAGTTGTAGTCTAGTGTAGTGGTAGTTGTAGCTGTAGTTGTAGTCTAGTGTAGTGGAAATTGTTGTTGTAGTGTAGTTGAAGTTAAAGTTGAAGGTGTAGCTGTAGTGTCGTTGAAGTTGTAATGTTGTACTTGTAGTTGTTGTTGATGTGTAGTTGTAGCTGTAGTTGAAGTAGTTGGGGTGTAGTGGAAGTTTTGTTGAAGTGTAGCTGAAGATGTAGTTGACGTTGTAGTTGTAGGATAGTGTAGTTGCAGTTGTCTACCTATCTGTCTATCTATTTATCTGTGTATTTATCTGTCTATCTATCTGTCTATCTGCTTATCTCTCTATCTGTCTGTCTGTCTATCTAGCCATCTTTCTGTCTATCTATCAATTTATCTATCTATCTGTCTATCCATCGATCTATCTATCTATCTATCTGTCTGTCTGTCTGTCTGTCTGCAAACTTGAGAACGAAGCTATTCTGCGAGACTTCCTGATTTTTTGAATTTGACAACATCAAAAACGCAGCAAGTCTGCGAGACTTCCTCAGTTTATCAATTTTCAAAGTTGACAACATCAAAAACGAAGCACTTCTGCAAGACATCCTTCAAAAATGGAAAGTTGAGTGCAGAGCTGACGGCCTCGTACCAATGCATTTTGCGATTTTTCCATTCCATCTGTCTAAAGTACTGCGCCTGCCATGAAAAAGTGAGGCCAGGTCGTATGAAGTGCTGCACCTTTCACGCAAGACCATCTTAGCAAACCCGAAGATCTGATGTTCCAAAATGCAACCCCTCTCAGGAAATCAGCGCCTGGACCTCCTAACATCTCTGAAGAACATGTCTCTTGCATTGCGCTTGCCACGGAAAATGGATCTTTGCAGATCCTCTCAAAATGCCCCACGCCTGCCAACGCTTTTGAAACTGCTACAAAACCATCACGTTTTGCTCACATTTGACAGGGTGCACAATCCCTTGCTTGCCACGCGAAACCAAAAGTGGTCCGAACATGTGGTGCTTTTTACATTTTGACTTGGAAACGTGCTTCGCGCCACAACAGCGTGCACTTTTTCAACATCCCAACTTCGAAAACTGGTCCGAGACCGTCAGTTTTTTAACACTTTTGACTTCGACATGTGCTTCGCGCCACAGCAGCGTGCAATTTTTCATCTCTCATCTGGCCAGATGGCTCCGCGCTCGCCACTTTAGCGAGCCTACTTTTGGGAAAAACACAGTGAATCGTGACTTTTCTACCTCTTCGCGCACCTGCATCTTCTTTCCTCTGACTCTTTCTCTTCTCTGATCTTCTTCTTCTTCTTCTTCTTTCTTCTTTTCTCTTCTCTGACTCTTCCCACCTCTGCTTTTCCATCGGAAGCTTTACTTCTAAACTTCCGTCGATAATTACAGTAATGAACATATGTATATATAATGATATATGTTATAAATATATATATAATATATATATATAATATCATATAATATAAACTAATATAATATAATATAACATAATATAATATAATATAAATTAAATAAAATAAATATAATATAATATGATATAATATAATATAATATAAATAAATATATATATATATGTTATGTGCAATCATAACTGGCTCAGTGGACTTCACCGGACTTGTCATTGTGGCTCTGGAACGCTGTGTTTTTCACAGCCCAGGGGCCCAGCCCAGCATCGATTGGCATCGGCGTCGCGTCATCCTGCCAGTGTCGCACCAGCCAAGACCAGGGATCTGCTTCGCGCCACCGGAGGAAGTGTCATGGAACGCTGGAGACCTGGAGATCGGGGAAGGAAAAAGGGGGGCTAACATGGTTTAACGTCGTTAACCTGGTTTAACATTGTTCATATAACCATCACCAATTAGTTGTATTAGTCGTATTTCGTGTAGTGATGCTTAATGATGGGGGATTAAACTCTGGTTCCTGGTTGATGATGGTGGGTTCAACCCCCCAAGACTGGGAGTTTAGTCATGAAAACTGCTGGAGTTTTACTAACTTGGGAGATTGAAGACCAAAAATGGGCAACCAAAATCAACATGAATCATCACGAATCCAAAATCAAGACATATCAAGACCTATTCAAGACCTTGAAGGAGGTTGATTCACTGGTAAACCATCAGTAATCTTTTACAAGTGAAGAATCAGATTTCTCGTCACCCCCGCCTGTCTTCCCTGCCGATTCCTTCGAGGAGGCCCGGCTCAAGGGCGCACTGGGCGCGGCCGTGGAGACAGCTGTGGAGGCGCTCCCAGCGCTGATGTTGCTGGACATGCGCTTGTACCCTGCCTGGGAAGCTGGGCCAGTGGTTACTGATGGAATCTGATGCAATCTGATGGATTCAGGCCACGGAAACTGGAGGACTTCTCGAAGCACAGAGTTCATCGTTGTTTTTGATTGTGATAACATGTGATAACCAGGGAAATGTGGTGGAAATAAAGAGCTGGGCAGGATCTATGGGGTATGGCGCCCAACAAAGGTACGGCGTCAAGAGAAGCGGACTCAAATGACTGAACCTCTTTGTCTTGTGGTCTGAGTGACAACATACTAAGGCACCACCATCTGTTGGGTGGAACCGCTTTTTGGTGCCAACCAAAAAAGCTCTCGGCTCAACTCCTACCAGTGGTAGAGCTGTTCAGCAGAAGGTTGAGGGTCGGTCCAATCATGGCGTGAACTTCTTTGATGCCTTCTGCCATCAGGATGGCGTTAGCCTTTTCGTTTAGACGCAGCAGCTGCATCATACAATGACAAGTTGTGCTCAGAGCACTTTCACCTTTTGTGTCTGCAACGTTATGCAATGCTTTGCTGCTTGAGTCTGTTCCTGCGATGGCCTTTGTAGAACACAAATCCCTCGGAACAGCTTGTTCAAACTCCATGCCGGTACAGCTGGTACAGTACAGCCACTAGACTGGACCTTCACCTGGAATGCTATTTATGCCGAACAAGTTTGGAGTTGATTACGTGCCGGAGCCTGGCCCTTCCTGCATGCAAGCTGGTCCTGCTTTGAGGAACTTTGCGGGAGAGCATTTTCCACTGCTTACGTCACGTCCTTGTGTCTTCGCTCTGTTAGTGGTTCTGCGGTTTGGATTCAGACATGACGGGCGCCATGCCCACATTCTGGCACTACAAGGTTTTCACCATCATTTCAGTGGACCAGTGCACCAGTTTTTTTTGCGCTTGCAGCCAGCAAAGTTCTATGGCTTCGCTGAGTTCTCGCTCAAGTGTTGGATACGCTGAGGGTTTGCAACCGTTTTGTACACAAATTGTCCTGGCCGTCCACCTGAGACGGGCAACACTTTGGCAATCACTTATCATGTCCATGTGCCACATGCGCACTGAACCTCGCTTGGATTGACTGCCACTACTACCGCCGTGGCATGAACCGTTACCGAAGTCCGCGCGTGGTGCCAACCAAAATCCTAGATCTGTTGCCGAGGCTATTTATTGCCCTAGTTTTATGACATCGGTCAACCACATGGTTGGCCATGGTGTGCTTTCATTATTAATTCACCAAAACCCCCAAACACCTAGCACCCATTCCCCTGTCCCAACCTTGCTGAGGCGTCGATCTTCAGCTTCTGCCTCATCTTCCTCTTGGACTTTGTTGGGCGACTTGGGCACCACTTGATTCAGAAAGAGGTCACCTTGGCCAAGTATGTTTGGTCACCAGCAGTGGGGAGGATAAACTCACTGTCCCACACCAACCAACGCCGTCCCAATGAGATTCATGGACATGGGAAGTTGATGGAAGTTGCACATGTTGTCAGGACTTGAGCAAGTACAGTCGTGGAATCCGCGGCAATCGATTGAAAACACGCCTGGCCTTCATTGGGCGGCCGCAAGCGCTCGGGTTCCGGGATGTTCCGCCAGGGATCCAACACCTGGGAATTCAACATGATTTTGCCAATCCATCCCAACTTACTGATGCAAATGGTTTCCAAAAAGATAATGTGTCTTTTTGTGATTTTGCATTGTTTTCTGAATATTGAAAAAAAGTATCAACAAGAATGCGGAAGTCGTGTGGCCTCCGCGGGTTTTCGGCAGTCGACTTCAAAGGCTTCGCCAAAGCTGAGCTCCCTGCAGTCGGTTGGGACCCTGAAAACTCATGGGTTTCATCATCGCAAGTCCTTTGGATCCCTTTGGTCCTTAGGCGTTTGCAGATCAAAGGCCAATAATTGCCATTGCCTTGGTTTCTCAAAACCGGTCCGCTTTCCTTTCGTGAGGTTGTCTTCCCATCACAAGTCATCTCCCCCTTGCGCACCTGGCATGATGATGGCGCTCCCACGGTTGAACCTGGCCCCGGCTGATCTGCATCCCAAGGGACCGAGACCGAGACCAGGGATTCTTGTTTTGCCCAACGTTGCCCAACACTCTGTTCACAGGTCTGTCTGAAAATATGGTGCCCCAAAATCATCCAATATCCGTTTATCATCGTTTTCCTAGTTCATTTGAGAGGTATACCGGTATGCCCCACTTCACAAACCCACAACTCCTCTGGCGTGGCACATTTCAGTGCCAGGAATTGCCTGATGTTGTCGGAGCTTGGCGATGTCGGTGCCATAACCTCAAAGCCCAAGATTCTACAATCTGTGCATGCGCATGTATGCGTGTGGCGTTCTGTACTTTCGGGATACCGTCCGGCATTTTGAGTCCTAATAGCTAGCTAGTGCGAAGGATCTCGGAATTCCAACTTTGGTTCCATGCATGTGATGTTTGTACATAGCGGCTGCTAAGAAATCCTGGCCTTTTGCACAGTAAGCAACAAACTGAGAGGAACAAACCATAAATCTTCTCGAAGCAACAGAAGTTTACTTACCCGTCTTCAGAACGCCTTCCAGGCTTCTGGAAGGTCAACATGTTCAATGGATCCCTTACAACCAATGCTGCTTCCGTTCCTGATTCCATGTGATCTATCCATATTTCATGTTATCAATATTATTGGTCAACAAAACACAAAGTTCAAACACACACACACACAAATTTTCTCAAAAATACGGGATTTTCATGGATTTTCATATATTTTCATGGATTTTCACATATGTTCATGGGTTTCTCAAAGATGTTCCACAGGAACAATCCTCCGACCGATCCAGATGCTTCACCAGGCCAGGTGACGACGGAGGTCCTCCTCCGTGACGTGGATACAATCCTTGTAGATGGTGCCCTCATCCTTAGGCAGGCTAGAAAAACAACCTGTGCATTTAGATTGAAAATATTATATACATATACTATATATATATATATGTATACATATATATATATATATATGACGGCACGAGAAAGATCTCAGCAGCCAAAAAAAATAATACATATATATATATATGTATATGGTATATAATAGTATACTATATATATATATGTATATTATAGTATCAATATATAGTATCTATATTCATGGCATAGGAAAGCTGGCTCAAGGAGTTGGAATTCCGATCGTTGGGCATCTCTTGCCTGTCCCCGACACACTCCAAGCCAGGCGACCAGGACTCGTTTCTCAAAAATTCGAACTGAAGCAATTTTCGATTTCCATGTCTGCACGTATCGATGGCGACAAACGTACAACGATAAACGTATATCAACGTAGAACTTAAGCCCAAGCGGAGAACGAGAAAAACACGGGGAGTTGAACTCATGACAACTCGACCTGCCGACAGGTCACCGGCATGGAGATCACATGTGCAGTTGAGAGTGCCTCGGTCATAGAATTCACTCGCATTAAAGATGAAAAATTGGACCTGTGAGGTTTCAACCTATGTGGTCACTGGCATCTTTGCTTTGACCCTTGCTGACTCGAGATCAAAACTTGATAAAAGAGTTCAATCAAATAATTCAGATGGAATTCCGGTGCTGTGTTTCGTTCTGACATGTTTTGACGCGGCCAAGATCCAGCAACTACTGCTATCCTGCAAATCCCCTCTCCATGTTTCGGCAAAAGCAATCAAGTCGATCAAAATACCTCAAAATGGACCCCACTTGCATCAGCTATATAATATGAAGTCTCCTAAAATTGTGGGTACCCTAAATCATCCACAATTGGTTATCATCAATGGGAAAACCACTGGTTTCGGGTACCCATATTTTGAGAAATCCCCCATCCTTTCCGGTCCAAATGGACCCGCCTTGGACTCTGGTGGGCATTCTGGGATGGCTGCAGGGCAGCTCTTGCGGTGCTGGATCTTCCTGGCTAGACATCTCTGCATCTTGAGAACTGGGTCCCAAAGACCTGAAATGACCTGAATGTCATCAAAACCATCAAATAATTTAAGATCAGCCTGTTCTTCGAACGCAGTAATTACATGTAATTACTACCGAAGATTGAAGTCACTTGAAATATTTGAAATGAATTTACACCCCATCGCCCCATCGCCTTCTGATCCTCTTTTCCAGCATTGGTCGCATCATTTCTGCCAAGATCTTCTCAGCCGCGACCCCGCGTGTGGCTCTGTGCCGTTGGGTGGCTCTTTATCGTCTGTGTGGCTGGAATGGCAGTGTCTCAAAGAAGCTGTGTATATATATATATATACACACACACATAAACTCTAGCTGCAGTAGAACCTCATCAACATTCACTTTGCTGAAGGCTTTTTGACCTTCCACTGGCTCACTGTTTGAGCCCAAAGGTTCCTGCGAATCGCAAATGATTTGAAGCCCTCAAGAAACAACGGGCTGTTCAAAGCCAGGTGGCACAGATTCAGGCATATCCTGCATGTTGCGGGATCCTTATCTGTTTTAACTGGGCATGAAAACTAAACTCGACATCAAAAAATGATTGCTGCAGATGACTGCCTACTTTCAATATGCATTCAACATCTTCAATGGAGACGTGCCTCCATCGCCTTTGCGAAGTGGTCGACGGCCTCGTCAAAGCGACCATCTGTGGCATTGACCTGGCAGATCTGTTGGTTGATAGGTTTTCCTATGGGTCATAAATTGTTATGTGTATATATATATATATGTTACACATATGTGTATATATATATAGTTCTATATATATATTATTATATTATATTATATTATATTATATTATAGTTCCAATTGATTAACCCATCAACCAGGGTATTTTTGAATATCTTGGCTCAGATGGATGCAAATGATGTAATTAACTGGACGTGTCCCTGACTTCAAATTCAGCAGATTTCAGCACCAATGCGCTCTCCATGCTCTGGCGAAATTTCCAGGCCTGGCCCAGCCGATGATATGCATTCTTGCTCACCTCTTTGAGGGTATGCTGAGCAAACCTCAGATTAAAGTCTTTGGAAGACATGGGACCTCCATGGTTCATGTTCCAGGACAAGCTCGATCCAAAGCCGAACTAGCACGATCTTTTCAGAGGCTGCAAAGTTTAACTTCCCTTGACAGCCGTTGAGTACACCAAGGACAAGCATTGAGCAGCCTAGTCGATTCATCTCCAGACATACGCGTGGTCAAATCCCGAAATGGGTTGGTCTGAAACTAGGGAACCCCTAAATCCGATGTTTGATCATCATTTTCCCCGCGAAGTAGCCATTTTCGGAGGTGAAATGCCCGATATTCAGACACACCCAACGATCATATCAATTTACTTCGCCCACTGTACCCCTATTTTTTTTTCCCATTGTCATTGGTGAACATTTTAAATATGGTGAAATCATAGGGATACAGTTAACCTATGATTATCCCTATGATTATCTCTATGATTATCCCTATGATTATCCCATTTGGTGAAATTTTAACCATTGTTGCATCTCTATTTTTGAGGCTTAAAATCCGTCAGCTCCAACGGGGCTCAAGACTTGCTGTCTCCCACGGCGGATTTCTGCCGCTGTGCAGAGCTCAAGTGGTACCTGTACTCAGCGATAGAATGGGGAAATCTAAGGGAGAACATGTTGGGTAATATATAGTTGGTAATATAGTTGTTATATAGAATGGTTAAATCTAAGGGAAATGGGAAATTGTAATATATAGTTGGTAATAGTGGTGATATAGCGTGACATAATTGCGATTTACCCATCAAAAATGGAATAGAATGGAGGTTTGACCAACCAAACAGGGCATATCTCAGGCATTACTTCCCCAAAAAGACAAAAGCAGGGCCTCTTTGCTGAAATACGTGAAGTACCAGTAGATACCAAAAGTATCCGTGGTTGTCCCATGAAACTCTGACCGCGAGGGCGCTGAAGGCAGATCCGGCTGGTCTGCAAATCTCCCTGAGCTGCAGATGCAATTCCCAGGTTTCCAACCTGAGCTGCAGCGGGTTTCCCTGCTCCATAGAGGTGGAAAAACATGAAGGGTCCACAAGCCAGAGTCGGTACGTCTTTCAATTTTATGTAGGACCTTGATGATACACACACAAGGAGTAAGAGCGAGAGAGAGAGCGAGAGAGAGTGAGTGAGTCTGTGCGTGTGAGGAACATACAGTCTGTGCAAGAGTCTTCTCGGTCTTTCATGAATGTAACTTCATCGAAATTTTCCATGGTTCATCTTGCAGTTTTCAATGTGAGCCTAGTTTTTCACCAAATGTTTCAGTTACCCTATGCAGAGACTTTAAAAAAAAACAGAACGCTGTGACCAAAATCCGTGGTGGCTTGCCGAAGTCCAAATCTGTGGCGAAGGAACCGTAAAACATTGAGCATCCTGCGCTACAGTCGGGGCGTCAGCTCTTCCGGCTGTTCCAACCAGCCGTGACGTGACACCAAGCTGTTTTACAAAACTGACCCGGCCAAAGTTTCGCAAAAAGAGTCCATCTTGTGAAGTATGATACAAGGATAATCTGGTAAACAATGAATCATGAAAGTCATGCTTTAAGATGCTTTAAGCATCTTTAAGCTGCTACAATCTTCCACTACGCAAATCCTACACAACAATGTCACTGTTTTTTTTCTTTCCCATATCCTCGAACAGAACCGCCATTTTCACCCCCAAGACTTGCAGTATCTTCCAGCCCCAAGAGTTGTGTCCTTTGAACCCATGCGATTGGCATATTCGATGGCGTGCTGGTGATGTATCGCAGCATGCTCTGACAAGCCCATCGCCTCCCAGGCTTAGCTAAAGCCAACAATAAATCACCATTGATAAATGGGTGCTATACACATCTATAAACCATCCCCAAAGGCCCAAAGGGTAGGTTTATTCATGTTCATTATTGGGGTTACAACATTAGATATATATATATATAGTTACATTCAGTTACAGTTACATAGTTACACTATGTACACATATGTACACCAATTACAGTACTGAAGCAAGCACTTGAAATTGTGGTCTCCGAAGAAACAACTGGGCAATTAGCAACTTGAATGCAACTTGAGTACAGAACAAGTTGTCCATGTATGAACAGCCAACCGCAACTGCTTCATGCCTGGAATACAATGCCCAGGTTGGTGTGTGCGATCAACCGACCTGTGCCGTCCTCAGCAAGTCGATGGGGATTTCGCTTAACTTAAATAGCTTTGGAACCTTACAGGATGAATGGACGATGAATGGACTTTGAATGGACTTGGCAGGGAAGGATCGGAAGGATTCTATTCTATCCTGACTCATCCTGACTCATACATGTTGACACCGTAGCTTTGTGCAGTATCACCTCTGTCAAAAATACGGGAAAAAAATGCCGAAGATCCGGGCAAACGGCAAACGTTGCAACACGTTGCAACTCACCATGCTGAGTCAAAGGCTGCCAATTCTAGGTGCTTGTTGTGATACTGGATCGCCTCGTCATACTGCCCTCAGTGTGGCCATGGCTGCCCCCAAGACTCTGTTGGGGTCACAACAACACAAAAAAATGGCCATGGCTTGCAAGCTATAGCCCCCAGAAGTATGTTGACCAACTTATGTTAGCTGTCTTGTGCCAATTCCATCCTCAAATTTCTGTTCTATGCAAATGGCACAAACAGGGATCACGTCGTACGATCGCATTCCACGCATCCTTCCAACCTCTAAACAGTGAATGACCATGGGCGAGAAGGGGCTTCTTCATTCACACATGAAAACGTTCTTTGCCATCCATTTGGTCAATCACACAGTAGCCTGGAGATATGGACATGCACCACTGAAAGCTTTCCTCATCAGCAGAGATGAGATTTTATTTGATGTTTATCACACGGCAGGCAAAACAATCTTTAGATTGAAAGCTATAGAGAAAAACAAACTATCGACAATTTGATGTACAGTATAGTCACGGGTAGGGATGGCATACTTGCAGTGTGAGCATTTACAAATGTTGATCTCCGCTTTACACTTTTTGGATTTGGCTGCACAATTTTGTGTTTCATTCTTCATTCTATAACCAGAATTTTGCATGGCCCACTAATATTGCACACATAGGACAACTGGCAGGTGCTTTTTTGTTTCGCGCACACAGGATGTGGTCGACTTTTAGACCCATCCCAAATTCAACCACTGGTGGTTTGCCTTCGGGCTTTGACGTTCCCATCTTCCACCATTGCAAACAATTGATAAGCATTGCATGATTGGATGATATTGGATGTAACAAGCTTCTCCAGTTTCCACCATTGGTTGTCAAAATTTCTCACTCAACTGCTGGAATGTTCACCCTCCGAACCCCCGCGCGCGACCAACGCCGTGGTAGGATCCACCGCAGCGCCCATCCGACCTCGCTGGCCTAAAAAAAATGGGGGCGGCGCTTATTGTGCCCAGCTCCACTGGCTCGACCACCGCAATGGCGCACGGTTGGGTTGAAGATTTTGAGTCTCTACACCACACCAGCTGAACATCTATCAGTAAAAAATCAGTAGAAGGAATTGAAGGAATATAAATGTGCAATATGAGGCAATATGATCAAATACACAAAGAATGTCTCTATAGTTCTCTATACACAGAATATATGCACAACCACTACAACCAGCTGAAAAACGGTATATCGATTACATGCACTTGGGATCATGGGTCAGTTGCTGTGGTGAGATGTTGGGATCCACTTCTCATCAGAAGAATGCACTGGGGGAGCCACGCCAGTGGCCAGCCCGGCGCATCTCCAACGTTCCACGGAAAGATGAGAGAAGCGATAATTGTGATGCAAAAAGACCAGGCGGCCTGACCCTTGAGGATGTCACAAAACTTTGCCAAAGAATCAGAACTAGCTCTGCAGATCCATGTTCATACACATGTACTAGGTTATATATATATATATCAATTTATATGTAATTATATGTAAATATATATATATATGTATACAAGTATGATTATATATATATATATCCATTACATACACATACATATACTTATACGATGTATCTATATGAATAGTTGAAAAGATACGGTATGCGTGTATGCCAACGTGTCTGTTACGTACTGATTCGCCGCTGTCTGGTTCTTTGCTCAACTAAGGTTTGTCACGAGAGCGCCCGGATTCCACTGATTTTTTGGCCATCAAGTGCAAAATTTGCGCTATGAAGACCAACGCGCAACTTGGGATATGTATGGATATGTATGCTATTAATTGCTATTAAATACTGCTATTACATGCTATTACCACAGGTGATGGTATCCCGGATCGCCAAGAAGTTTGCATCTTGTGGCTGTCAATCTCTGGAAGCAGTTTTGCTTTCCGTGCCTCATGGAAACAAGTGGGCACCGGACCCTTTTCAATACTCTTCACACAGAAACACTGATGGGGAAGAAATGGGAAGAATATCAGTGGTGCCTGTCTTTCATGAGTTTGATCCTGATCTAAGAGCATGGAAAAGTTTATCCCACTGCAGCTTTTCATCTAGTTCTTCACCACGATGCTGCTGTGATTGCTCAACTTTTGCAACTGGTCAGCTGTGTACAACTTGGGGTGTGTAAACCGCCCTGAACACCAGAGATCATCGAAGACTGTGTGATCTTGGTCCAAGTTTGAACGAGATTTCATGGTCTCCCCCATCAGCAGGGCCCAGGCGAAGACTGGACTGCGAGTTTTCGCACTGGAACAGGTGAGAAAGGTGACCATCTCCAGGTTTGAAAATTGCCATGTGTCCAATTGGATCCAAGCCAGGCAATACTTAGTTACTTAATGTGACTATGTGTTACTTATACTTAGCTGTTCCATATTATGATGGGCAAGTGGCTTTAGTGACTGAAACTGACCCACCTAGCTGGCGACTTTTCTTGGTCACGTTGTGGAACGACATATCAAGCTGTTTTTCGAGGTACCAATGGTACCATCTGATGTGCAACACCATTGACCGACATCCATTGATCTTGATGGCTTTGGAGATGGATGTCCCACAATGTCCTCACCAATATGAAGGTCAGCAACTTGGAGACGTTGTGTCCAAGGCTATGCATGGCTATGTTCTATGCTCTGCCCAGAGAAAAAAAGGGCTCGTGCATCTGGTGTCCATGCGGGATCGCAGACGGATCAATGAAGTGAAACTTCTGCTGTTCTTCTGTTGGATCCCACCTGGATGGCTATGCTCAAAAGAATTCCTAGCGGCAATAGATTCACTCGCACGAATTGTGACAACCTCAGCACGCAACAAACGCTGTTGCATGATTTTGCCAACTAAAATCGTGCAGCTCCGTCGGGCCCACTCAGGACTGTCATTGAACGAAATTATTGTTGATAAGCAGTTGTTTGTGTTGTTTGCTTTGGACTGCTTCCATTCCCATCTCGACATTGTTCGTGGATGGCATTTCTGCAGCATAATTTATGCAGCTCCATGGCAGCTTCTATGGCAGCCAGAGGAATGCCGGACAGAGGAAAACATTGCGCGTCTCAGTGCAGCATGTTGCTGTGTGCAGCACTTTTTGATAAAGGCTACTGGAAATGGAAAAATGGTTGAATTAGCAACCCCCATCGTGGCCAGGGTTTGGCTTCACTCCGGTAGGTCGGGACTCTTGAGTGCGGTGGCGACATCCCCTGAAGCTTCCGGTGAACACTTCACAGCACATTTCATTGTGCTCCTAGTCCTTGGAAGTAGAAGTCTCCAAATCAAGTTGCGGTGTATCATAAAGAATCCATCCCGTATTTTGATGCCTGGACCTAGATGGGCCCAGCATATGTTTTGTCTGCGCGTAAAGTGTTTCCTCCAGCTTCAGGAACTGATGTCAACGGAAGGAAACAAAGATGCCTCAGTTGAATATGGGCCGCTGGAATTGTCGAAGAGAATCAATCCCAGAAGTTGCTTGAACTGAAACAGGATGAAATAAATTACGTCAGTTCATACTCCAGACCCAGACTGAAACATCGCCATTTTTTCGTGTCGCCCCTGTGAAATCACAGAAATTGTGCCTGTCATCCCCCCAAAACCCGGTTGGAGCAAGGAGCTCAAAATGTGCAAAATCTCCGCGCTACCCAGCTGGCCAGGCGCTCAACGCTCCCCAGCTAGGCATCGCTCGATTCATCCCATCCTGCGGGTGACGTAGCTGTCACAATTCTGAAGAGAATTTTGCATCTAAATATGTACTACATCACATTGCATATATTACATTCTACATCATTCATTATCATTCTATAGTATAGTTGGAACCCACGTTCTTGGAAGGGACCGCGGGTTGCATGAACATCATTCATGACATCTTTTGACCCTTGCTCATATATATTTCTGTGCATGCTTCATTCATCCTGGATATATCCTTCGAAAATTGGTTATCTGAAAATTGGGCACCCACCAATCCACTGATTCATTGACATGTTTGATCATGTGTGCTATTACATGTCTATTTTGCTGGCTAGGGGGCCATTCTTTTTTGACAAACGCAACTATCACATCAAGCTGCCACTCATCCCAATATAACTATATATATATGATATGATATATATATAAACATTCATATATATATATCATATTATTATATACATACATGTTCATCCCATTATTATTGGTCAAATCATTATTTTTGATGGATAAGATCGGATAAAATCTTCGTTTTCGTTGGCTCAGTAAACCAGAAAAAATCATCGGCACCTGGCGGGAAACCTTTCCCGAACATCGGCACCTGGTTCACTCAGGTCCACCCCCCGCCCAATCGAGGTCACAAAGGGCTGTACGCGGCTCACCTGCCGATTTTTCAGCATCCGATTTTCTCAGAAGCAGCTGGATCAGCTGGATATAGACTTGAGAAAATGATAGAAAATGATGGACATTTCCCAAACCAGATTGATTAGTTGATTAGTTTAGGACATGTTTCTTGAAATTTAAGGCGATGATTTCTCCATATTTCTCCTACCATCATCGAACTGGTGAAGTTAAATGGGGTTGCTATAATTTACCCAAATGAAGATCAATCAACTAGACATACCCTCTGGTAAACTAACATAGCTATTGAAAATGGTCATTTATAGTGTGTTTTCCCATTAAAAATGATGATTTTCCATAGCTATGTTAGTTTACCAGAGGGTAATTGGACAATGAATATGCTCAGCACATCAAAGGTTCAATCTATAAGGAAGCGCCCGCCGCTGTAGCCTTTTGCACCACAAGACATGAGCCATGAAAACGACCATCCCATCCCATTCTACTGGCTAATATGTATCCCTGTTGTGGGTTGTCATAATCCCCAAAAAAAATGCTCAGTATGACCCGTCATGGTGAAAAATAAACAATAGTATGTTTAGTGGCTCACTTTGTGCCCCGCCTCATATTCATCTCGGCTTCTGCCGGCTGGGGTCGCCAATACCTCTCCACCTCGGATTCTGTGCGAATCACATGACACCTGACTCAGGTGATATCAGGTGTAGAATCAAATGCATTTTATGCATTTTCATGTGGTACTGGTATCTGGTATGGGTGCTTCTGACTGTTGCTTCACTCACAAAGGGTGGCATCCAGAATTCTGCAAATAAACATCATTAAATAAATAGTAGCATTCCCTATGGAGTGTGGAAACCCTCAACGTGGGCTGACACTAGGATAAACCCACATCAAAATCAAACACAACAAAAGCTCTTGCCATCTCCCAGTAACATAGTTGCGAACACCACCGTGCAGGCTTAATTCAAGTGCCGAAAAAATCCTCCATGCCATGTGTTCCATATACTCCGCGCCCACTGAATCTAACCGGTTCCCAAGTCGAGCCACCACAGTAAGGCACTTCTGGCAAATCGTCATCCTCCGGTGCTGCAAATTCATAGATCTCCTCCAGTGTCTTTTGTCACAAAGCCTTGCATCTTACAACCCGATTTGATGTGGGTAAAACAATGCCATAAACATCCATAAACCACCCATTTTCCTGGGAATGGTAAACATACCACCTATAAAAATGGTGATTTTCCTTGGGGAGTTTATGGCGGTGTTTTACCCACATTAATGGTAGCGTGTCTGCCTCCGCACATCCTGAGGGAATCATGTCCATAGCCTGTAGAATGCCAACATGAGTTGGCACGCAAGTCTTCACATCCCACTACTTCGAATCTTGGCTAGGAAGACAAATGCCGCAGCATTGCTAATGCATCGTTTCTTGGGTCGCACAGGCTAGCACCCTTTCCACTCAAATTCTGAAATAGTTGCAGTAATGACATCAATGCTTTGGTGCACATGCATGTTTATGCTACGAAGAGAAGTCAAATCATCATGCACGGACGCCCATTCCTAGAATGAAAGTGTCTGCACTCTGAACCCCCATTCAATCTTCTGTGGGTTCCCAATAGGCATCAATAAACCATTCAATCCAATTGGCACTGGACTCCCAAGAAGGGTCTGCAGCATTCAGCATCCTGGAAATCGCTGGACAAAGTCTTCAGAGAGGATGTTGCAGTAACCTTCGCAAAGGGACCAAGAGTCACAAAGGCAAAGCAGATTAGTTGGATGTGAAGTCAGTTGCCAATTTTTAAAAAGTACGATTGCAGGCTAGGCATTCCAAGCATTCCATGACTCTTCGAAGTGCTCCATGGAACACAACTTGGAAGGCGAAACCGCTATGCAAAGTGAAAAAGGTGACAAGTCTAGGACAAGTCTAGGCAGCCAGTTCCCTATTGCAAGTACTCAAATCTCCCAGTCCCCAAGTTCAAAGTTATAGAATATGATGTGTTGATACATAATACATATGGAGGTTTTCTGAAATAGGGGGTACCCCTAGATCATCCATGTAAAAAAGGGATTGTCCATTGTAAACCAACCATTTTTGGGATCCCCCATTTATGGAAACCCCCGTTAATATGTCTATACACATATTGTTTTCTTTTGCCCTGATTTGCCCGTTTTTTCCAAGAGCCAATGGGAAGAACTGAAGCGAAGGAGCAAACTCGAAGCAACCGAGGCACCAAATCTCCCCTCTCCGATCCTTCCGTCGTTTCATCGTCATCAATGGAGCCACGACCATTGCACTTGTTCAACACAGGAGAAGCGGTACTGGCCTTGGACCGATACTGTTGATATCAAACATGAAATAGAAAATGAAATCACCCTCTGCTGTCAAAAAGATGGAAAATAAGGGAAGTTCTGATAAGATTGCTTGATCAGGATTTGCAAACACCTCTCAGCGTCCAAACATAACTATAGAAAAATCACCAGAACTTCACACCAGGTGTGAACCAACTACATGACTGGTCTCAGTCCCGCGCTGATACCAATTCCAGTGCAGTCCCAGGAGCAATGACCTTCAGCGCTTCAAGCTTCGTATGAAGTTCGAGAGAATCCGCATCCAACGTGGGAGCGCTACCTGGGACGCAATCATGGAGGTGAGAAAAAAATGTTTCAACTATATAGGTTCAAGCTGTTGGGGCCTGTGTTGAGGATTTATGAGAATAGAATTCCACCTGTTTGATACGGACTGCCTGAGTTGGGTTCTTCTTCGGCCTCCAAATTGAGCAAAAGTCAGACATGGCCCAGCATAGCAGCCCCTTTGTTTTGACGACGACAAGCCCCAACTGAACAGCTAGATACAACCAACATCCCAACGTCGCACGCCGATACACACACACACCAAAACAAAAAAAACGAACCAACGAGCTTCGTAGCCGGCACTATTTTTCCAACGCAGCTAGAATTGAACCGCCGTGAACCGCCACTTGTCAAGAAACACGCGAAGAGGGAAGTACTACAAACAAAAAAAGATGGTTTGAACGCCTGTAAAAGGCCGTGCCGGTGATGACATCAATGATGGTGGAAATGACCGAAACTGCACAGTAGTAATTTGCACATTCTTATTTTTCTTCGGTAAAATTGCGGTTAAAATTCCATGGAATGGTCGCCTCAAACTTGGAAAATCTATATGTCATATATATATATATATCATATAATGCTTTACCACAACGAAACTGTAATTTTGTGTCCCGAGAGCTTCGTGGAAAAGTTCCGATTTTTTTGTTTCAAGCACAAACTTGTCCGAGTTTGTTGAGGACATTGCCTGTCACGCTTTTGCACCAGCGTAGCATGACGTATCATGTGGTTGAAGTGGAAAAGAACGTCATTACCCCACCCCACCCCAGCCCCAAAATAGCAACACGCGCATGGCCTCGGCGTTGACACCAAAAACATGACTGATGTATACTGATGTCTTGGAATTATGAAGAAGCCAGCCCCAAACCCACTGGAGGTCTTCCATGTCTTCCCATCTCTTAAAGGCAAGCTGCTTTTGTTCGTTTCGTACTTGGCCGTCCTAGCCAACTGGTTCAGCACGCCAACCTGCCAACTGGAAAACAAAGGGATTGGAGATGGCGGGGCAGCAAAATCATGAATGTATATACATAATATTTCCTATAGTATAACTTAATCCATGTCGCCAACTCTTTCGAAATAGGGGATTATGATATATTCCGACTTATTATTCCTTTAGAATACCCAGCCGCATCATCAACTTGAATGAACATCGATCTCCACTCGTGAACCACAAGGAAATGCCATGTAGCAATGGCACACAAGTTTGAAGCAGTACAGCAATTTCCCTCGTTCTCTACTTGCGTCACATAAGCAAAGCATGCACTGTCGCAGGGCATATCGGATCATCAATATCAGTCAGCTCACTGGAGACATGTCCGTTCTCTTTGCCTGCCTGCACTTGAGAGTCGTCTGCCTCAACTTTGAACTTGGTGTCCATCTTCTCTTTCCCAACGTAACCTTCAGGGAAAGTGATGCTAAAGGAGACCTGAAAAGGAGGAAGGCCATTCACTCGGTAGCCCATTGCAGCGATTGGCGTTTTTAGGGCTGATGGTTGCGACCAGTTCACAGTTCACATGAGTTTTTTTTTTGTGTATGTGTGGCTTACCCTCTGGTAAACATACAAAAAACTATGGAAAATCGGCATTTTTAATGGGTAAATCCACTATTTCGACTGGTGTGTGAAGTCAAGTCACAAACTGCTAACCGTGGTGGGATTGCAATATGTGATGGGGGCCGCGCATGTTTATTCAACTGCTTGGTGGGTAAAAATCACGAACGGCACCATGCTCCGGCCACCCTGAGCCAAACTTTATAGCGCACAGACATGGATTCAGCTAACAGCAAGTGAAGCTGTTAACTGTGATGCAGTTGCCGTCACTGGGCAACCACATTGGAAGGAGCAAACAGTTTCAATGTCGATTCTCAAAACTAGCCTCGAAATCATCCCCAGTATTGTTGATCCACTGATCCACTGATCATCTGCAGATTGTATCCATGGTAAGCCACTGCTCATTTTGCAACAAAGCCTGCAAATAAGGTAGTACTGTCAATAGAAACGACAAAAGAAGCAACTGGAGACCTTCTCTCGAATGGAAGGGCCCAAAGCAAAAGGCTACACACAATGGCATCCCCATCCCAAGCTGGAAAAGGATAGGCTGAGACGGTGCAAGTTAGGACAGTTAGGCACATTCGCTGGCCTGCGAGCCAAGCTGGGTCTTCGCACCCATTTTGAAGCAGTCGATGCCCAGGCAGTTGTAAGCCAAGGCCTAGAGTTCTGGGATGCCAGAAAATTCAGTGGGTGAAGCCTCTTCGATTATCTACTCCCATCCCTCTATAAGTAATATAGTAACCCCTCAGATATTGGAATATATTGGAACCAGAAATGACCAAATCCAATACAAAAGCATGGTTTCCGAGATCTTTATTCTTAGGTGGAAAGGATTATACAATTACTTCTTCTGGTGTTCACCTACAGCCCTACAGCCTTTTTCAGCCAACACGGACACGACAGGATTCTGGAAATCACCAGGCCCAAATGGATCGCCAGCCATGGCCTCACCCTGAGTGTTTGTGGAAGTGATGCACAAGGCCAAGAACTGCTTGTACTTTTGAATAGCCTGGCATGCTTCATCAGGGGTTCATTCTGCTTCATCTTCATCTCTCCCATGGCTTCGATATGCTTCGATTCTGGGGAGAGAAGCTCAAATTTCTACTTGGCCTGGAGGTCTCAGCACGAAATCAGGAGAACACCCTGGTTTGCCCTTTACGTATTTGTCCCATGGGAGAGTATGGCACCATCGTTTGGTTGATCCTTCTCTTTCAAGACATGTCTGAAATATCTGACCTCGTCATACATACCCTGGTTGTCGAAAACCACGCCCATCTTGTGGTAGGCCTCTGCATCAGCGAATCAGCAAACGAGAAATGGACATGGTCTGGTCATGTCTGGTCCAACTGCAGTATCTTCCAGCAACTTCCGAACACAAAATGCTTCTGTGCTTGCACTTGTCTTGGATGGTGGAGTGTCGCGTCAGCGGATTGGGATTCTTCGAATGCAGATGATAAAAGGGAGCAGCACCTAGTTTCTGCCAAGCATTGTGTCTTCAGTCCAAGTGATTCGGTTTCACACAATTTGCCCGCAAAGTGCTTTAACATGGCATGGTTTAACATGGTTTAACATTCTGCCAGCAAAGTGTGGCTTCAAACGGTTTATCCAATCCATGGCCATCTGCCTGAAGGGCCTGGTAGACGTTGCCTGAACGACTAGCCTCAGCCCGGCCGTTAGCCCGTTGATTGAGTTGTTCCTTGAAGCACCAGGTAACCACCACTTGGTTTTGAAAGCTCTTTCCAACTCTTGTAGGTTCCTATAGACTCTGCTGACTGTACATCTTGAATTTCCGGTGCTTAATATTTGTCTCAGCTGATTACGCCGATTACGCCGGCTGCCAACTGGAGGGACACTGCATGACACTACTGTCCATGACGAACCACGGCGTGGCTGCTGTGATCCCAGCAGAATCTGCCAACATCTTGAGATCCGCAATCTGCTGCCTGTATGCATATGAGTCAATGAATGTCTCTGTCACAAATGTTGACTCCCACTGCTGAGGTTCCCAGCAGAATCGAAAACAAAAAACACTAAGGATTGGCGAAAAACATCTATAAAAAGCAGGCAATTTCCCTGTTTAGACCTGACACATTGTGACGTTGAATCCCTTGAAGATCCTTCGAGGCAGCGCTTCAGCATGCTTCACCCCTACCCAGTTGCCTATGGTCGTTGCCACTTCTCGACAACTGGGCTTTCCGCCGGATTCTGCGAACCTGGACGCAGACCCTTCAGGTGAGACATGTGTCTCCCTCCAAGTTACAGCTGAGTATAGCTGAGTGATATAACTTGATACCCCGCACTGCGAAAGAATTTTCACAGGACATAAAGGTATCATGAGGCATCACAGGACATATCTGGTGTATGAAGGACCAAACTCATGGCGAAGCATCACTGATTCAAAGATTAAACCTGTGCAGTCAGTGCAGTCCAGGATGAAATTATTTAAAACAGCTATACAGGCTATACATATCTGTACATTACTTTACATTCACAGCAAAACAGGACAGGAACTCCACAACAGAATATGTGTTGGTCACTTTTGTCAGTTTCGGTCATCTTCTTTCTAGCGAATAAATTGAAACACATCCACAATGACGGGCCCTCTAGCCTGAACTATGGATAAGCGGGAGTTGGATTCGCCCAATTGTTAATCTTGGGTAGGGGCCCATCAGTGTAGGCAAGTTCTTTCTCTGCCCTGCTCCCCAATGAACGCTGTTGAGCTTGGAGCATAATTCGCAGGCATTGGCGCGTTGCCGGAATTGAAGGTCTTGGTGGAGGGTCTATATCTTTGGACACAGTATGGGCATGGTTCAGGGCAGGCGACTTTGCCAAGCTTTTGCCCTGCTTGAATGGCCAGCATCCGTGGTTTGCCAAAGTTGAAAATGGGATAAAATGGCTACATGCTGAGACGGTGACTTGGCGACTGGTTGATTTCAGGATCTGGCTACCTGTCATGGCATCTGATCGGTCTCTTGGGATCGACGGAAAACACCACCTGTTTTCTTAGCCCGTGCACCATTTTCAGCCACTTCGCAATTGACAAACAGTCAGGAGCAAGTGACTCAGTGAAACCGCGGAATATGGGATGGTGAATATCAGTGGACCAGCGAAATCTCGGGTAATTTCAACTCAAAGCTTGCAGATGGTACAAGTTTGGTGATCCTTGACCATGCGAGCATGCCCATATATAGCATTGCATAGCAGTTTTTTGAGCATCGTATTTTTACAGCCATGTCCTGCAGTGAGTAGCAACGTCTGAGACAAATCGCCAGGTCATCGACCACTTTGGGCCCGGCCATGGCATAAAGCCATGGCTTCCACAACTTAAATAGCGCAAGGAACCAAGGAGTAGCTGCCCGGGCATGTCTACCACTTCCAACATTGGGATGTAAAACGCAAATAAAGTGCAAAGGCATCAAAGACACTCAATATTAGTAATGCAACATTTTTAATAGAATTAGTCGATCCTGGTCATGAGAGAACTTCAGTTCGGCACTCAACGTGGCCGAGGACACAATTGAATGCACTTGAGAAGTCTCATTGATGGTCAGCATTCCAAGAAGCAAGCCTATAGACGCTTACAAGCTGGCAAAAGGTGGCAGTAGGATGGCAGAAGAAGTTCCGGGGTGCTCATAGATCATAGATTTTCCAGGTCTTCAAGCCCGAGTAGGATACATAGTTAATCACAGTTACGCTGGCAGCCTTGTTTGAATCCTTGAAGCCAACCTTGCGACCTCATGGGAGGTCCAGCAAGCGCGCAGCACGGATCAGCTTGAAGTGTTCTGATGCGCCTCAAATGGTGGAGGATTTGATGGTGCACCACGGTGCACCTTAAGTTTTCGATCAATAATCCAAACATATCCAAACGATCCAAAATATGCAAGAACTTAGTTCATTTCAATGTGGCTATGCTTTGGCGAGCAGCTATAGTCTGAAGTTGCCAAGACATCAAGTGCACTAGCTTGAAGGCATGATGGACATCTGTCTCCAGCAAGTTTTGCAACTATTGCTCTTTACTATGCTCTGAGTCATCAGAATTTTCAGACCTTGCATTTTCATGCATTTTCATAGTTGAAAGATGTTGAAAGAGTTGGTCCCCCCCAATGACTCTTGGAACATCTTGGAACCATTTGACGAACCTGTAGAGCGGCATCCAGAAAGGGGATGGGCCTGGCGGCTCCAACGGCACCACATATAAACTGTACAGGATTACATAAACATACACAACATTAAAACTAATAATATATATATATACAATAGCATTGTAGCGCTGATCTCATATTATATTATATTATATTATATTATATCATATTATATCATATTATTATGTTATATTATATTATATTATATTACTGTATATTACATTATATATACACATACGTATATACGTACACAAAAGGCTCTCGTGGTAATCAAGATCTGAATTGTGGGACTTCCCTTAAACATTGATGAAAAGCGATTAGATGCAATTAGTTAAAATATGTTAAAATCATCTTTTCCAACTCTTGCAATCTCTGGTCAAACAGTTTTCCCACCTGTTTCCGTCCAACTGGTGACCATAGAACAACTTCTGCGCCCTGTCCATCGCCTCTCAAATCCAAACGTCGGAATGTGCGACTTGTGGGACACAAGACGACCAGTCCCCAGGCTGGTTGTTCAAAGATGCTCAAAGTATCTTGCCAAGCTTGACTTCTAAAAGCCCCATATAAGTATATTGCATTATAAGTATATTGCATTATTTGATCGAGGATCTGAGAGGTGTGTCGAATGTTATAACAAAATAACTGCAACAACTAGTCGAAACTTCAATCACCAATGTGCGTTTCATGACGGACCTGACCTTTACATGAAGAAGAACTCAGTAGAAAAAGAATAGATGGAGGCACAAACTCCAACTCAACTGTAGCTGATGC